AATTAGCAATAATCTGAGTGGCATCTTTTCGGGCCTGCAAAATGTGATCCCTGTCATTATAAATGAGATAGGAAAATTTTGCGATATATTTACAAGTCTTGCTGCTTTGAATTTTACACTTTAACTTGAGCAATGAAATTTTTAGTAAGTCATAGAAGATGCAAACGTATTAACAAATGAATGAATTAACTACACACACCAAATTAAAGAAAAAAGAGCAAGGAAATTGGAGAGTTGGTTCAACTTTGCTATATAATGGTTACCTCTAAGTTCAATTTTGGGAGACATGTGATCAAAAGCCGCATTGTGTTTTGCCTGAAGAACTCCTGAGTCAATTGTGCACAAGCCTCTGAAACTGGCTCAGATTCACTATTGCCATAAAGTATTTGTTTCATCTCTCTTATGTTTTTACATAACTCTGCCATCTGCATAAAACAAAATGCAATATAGAAAATGTTATTACTTTCACACTCCAGACTTGCAATGATGGAGATCTTTCTCAAATAAATAAACTGAAACATAAACCTAATTCAAAAGCATATTTTGAATCAAGAAAAACAGGTAGGAGCAATTCACATCAAGAGGAAAACTCTTAAACACTACACAATGACTTTTCACAGAATGGACAGTTTGGAAAACCACTTATAGAGCAATTGCGAAGCTAGCCAAATAGCGAATATTAAATTCTCATTTTCCAGCAATTTATCAGAGAGATATCTCGTAATCTTTAATGAAACCAGAAGGCAATTAAAAATCTGAAATCCAATGCAGATTAACAAAAATACAAAACTTAAAAAGGGGTAAACTGAAAAAAACTTTCCAAGGTACACAAAGAAATGTAGAGATACTACAACCCAATGCCATTACATTCAATTAGGGTCAAATTCTATACCATTTTGTTCCTCAATCCATAGTGACATTAAATATCATAATAAAGGAAAAAGATCCAAACTTTAACCAAAACCCAGCTTTTTCCAGCCACCCAAAAGCACAACACCGCAGATTAAACTTTGAAAACACTCATCCTCAGCTAATTCAACTTATTAAAAAGGAAAAAACAAAATTAATACAATCCAATTGAAATCAAAACAAATTAACAAAAAAAAAAAAAAAAAACCAAACCTTCTCTTCGCGCTTGGATTCACGAATATCAGAACCGCTGCTAGCGTAAATAAGAAGATCGCGAGTTTGTCTGACGACGTCGACGGGGGTACGTGGCTTAGATTTGAAAAGGCCTTTCATTTCTTTGTTAATTTTTGTCGTTCTAAGTTTTCGTTTAGATTCGGGGTAAATGGAAGTAGAAGAAGAAGTCGGAGGTGCTGGCGGTGGAAGTCGTGCTGGTGGTGGTGGTAGGGCTGGGTTCGAGAGCCTCTGAATCAGCTCGGCTGAAGAGGCTCTGCGTGCCGCAGCTGTGGGCTTCGACACACAGATGCCTATGCTTTCCGTAGGAACCACCGAACCGTGTTGGAGGGATATTTTATAGGTAAATTGGATTTGATTGAGTGTTATTACAAAAGAACGGTGAAGAAGATGATGACGATGAAGGAGAAGAGAGGTGGTCTGGATTAGATTAATTTTAGGAGATGTGTCGTGGAGACTCAAAACGGCTTTGCCTTTGGGCTTTACGTTCCCTGCTGCTTTCTACTTGGTAGTTACTCTGTGGACCATCCCTTTTATATTTTTATATATATTGAACAAAAAATTTAACTTATTAATTATTAAAAAATTATAATTATATATTTTGTAATTTTCTAGGAGATATATATCGAAATAAGTAAATCTTTTGTTTTTGTAATATTCTTAACATGTGCCCTCAATCCACGTGTTAAAGCCAATGTTGTAAGACTCGAGGTCGATTTCAAGGCCGGATGGTCTGACCAGCAGGTTGGACCAGTGACATCAACATGACATAACAAAATTTTAAAATTCTAATAAACTTTTAAAATAATCTCATCTAAATCTAAAATCTAAATAACAATATAATATAAATAAAATAAATTGAAGAACTGAAGACTGAAATTGAAGAATAGAATTTAGGGATTTTAATTTTAGGAAGTAGGATTGCGGTTTAGCCATCGGTTCTCTGACTCCACGGTTAAACTGGTGATTCGACATTGTTTTGCCGATTCAACTCTTGGTTAACCTGGTCCAACTGTTATAATCAGGTTCAAGATGTACCAGAACAAATAAGAGTCCAATCAAATCGGTTGACCGACCAGTTCGCTTGGGATTTTAGAACAATGGTTAAAATAACACTTTTTCTATAAATGTATATTTCATTTTCCATTTTCAGAAAATAATTTTGAAAACTTTTTCTATTCATTTAAAAAACAAAGCATTAAATACAATTTTAAATTGGACTTTATTTTATTTCTATAGATTCTTGTATATATATATATATATATATATAGAAAAGTTTATCTTAAAAGAGGATACTAAATTCATCAAACTATTAAAATAAACAAACAAGAAGTTTGACATTCTCGAAACCTCTATCTATTACAGAGTGTTTGTGCTCGACACACGCTAAAAAACTTGTCTTAATTAAAAGCTAGACAATGCTATATTTTAACCTTTGACATTAATAGTAAACATAACCCATAAATTATTTTAGTTTTTATAGGATCAATTTGTCCTTCATATATATATATTTTATTGATAATGAATATTACGTTAGACATTTTCCTCTATAACCGAATGACAAACTTTTAGCTATTGACGTTATCTATGTTTAGGAGGTCTTGTCTTCGAGTCGCAGGAGAGACAATTACCAGGTTTATCAAAAAAAAAAAAAATTATTATGTAAGGTTTATTGGAAAATAGAAAGAGACAGGCGTCATGTATATATGTGGTAACCAATTAGGCAGCTAGCATTGATTTTGCAATCCACCCAATAGATAAAGAAGTTCTCTTTAATTTCCAACTTCACAATCACATGCCTTCCCCACTCCTTCAATTCTTTACCAACTTTCAATCTTCTCTCATTCCTCTGCCGAATTCTCCATCTCAATATCAACTCACATTAATCATTAAATTGTTCATAATATGAGAAAAATAATCACAATAATCCTTTGTTTATCAAGGGCAATATTGTTCATAATATGATTTTTATTGTGTTGTAATTTACTAACATGTTGTGACGCTGTATTTTCATGTTGAGAAACATTTTTATGAACCCATTCGTGTGTAATCCAGATAATTAGAACGAATTGGAGATAATATGGATAAACACAAAGTCTTAGGTTCGGTTCCTCAACTGAACATCTACAATTTAAGTGGAGAGGAGGGTTGTTGCGCTGCTCTGCTTCTTCATCAAAAGAGAACTAACAACACACCTTTGCTTCTTCGTAGTAACATATATTTTTACAGTAAAACATAATGTTAACTTCCTTTTATAGTAGAAATAGTGTTATATATAATTATTTAGGGATCGAAGACCGTGTGCAATTCTAATAATTAAAACATGAAAAAAGAGGGGATAGTAGTTTTGTTTGGAGTGTAAATTACTGTGATTCGTAAATTCAGGAAGTTTGCTATAACTTCCTTTCTGTAGATGATTTCATAGTGTGTATATAAAGGAACCCAGTTCTTATTCTTCATTAATCTTAGAAGAATAGAGTTACAAAATTCATTTACTGTTCATTGTCTTCAACCTCGATCCAGCTTAATTAACTTATAAACTTCCCACATTCCACACTGTGATTATTAGGTTTTACGTATGTAAGTTATTCGTTCCCTAGAAACAAAATGTACATTATGTTTGGTTTATTAAAAGATAGATAAAGAGGTAACCATACATGTGTATACATATATATATATATATGGTGGCCAACCAGCTAAATAGCTTTAATTTTGCAGTCCACCCAACCCAAGAGATAAGAGCTTTCCTTTAGTTTCCAACTTCACAATCACATGCCTTCTCCAGTCTCCACTCATTCAATATTGCTTTACCAACCCACTATGTTTTAGACTTTAATTCATTAATCTTCTTTCATTCCTCCCAAAATTCCTCCATCTCAAAATCCTCTCATATCAATCACTAAATTGTTGATAATATGATAAAATAATCGAAATGATGTCAATCACGAGAATCCTTTATTTGGAATAGGCACTGAGGCTGCTGTCCCGGTGTTGTTGGCCTTTCTGACATTGAGGTGCTTTGAGATAACATCGGTGCGTTTGGTTTCATAATATTATCTATATTCTCAATTCTATTCCCCAAATATTGTTTGACACATTATTTGAGAAATATTATTGTATTTTTTAATTACTTTTAGACCCTTTTAAGTTTATTAATTTCATAAATATCCCCAGAAAAAAGTTTAAAAATTAGCAAAAACACCCCCACCCACCCATACTTGCCAGATTCCGGCAACCACCGTCGGTGGTAGTCGAAATCTGTCACAACGGCTTACACCACGACCGTAACTGGCCGGTAATTCACCGATCTGGCCGTCAGCACGGCCAACGATAGACTTTTGCGGCCGTCGACGGCTACATCTGGCTGTAGAGACGCGTTACGACACAGATCTGACCGGTTTGTGTTATAACGCAATTTTTTGATCAGATTCCGGTGGTGGTGGCCGGAATCTGGCACTGAAATTTTATATATTAGGGTATTTAATTAAATTAGAAAACCTGTGAGGTTTTTTAGAAATTTTTAAATTTTACCTTGTAATACTCCCTTATCCAACTACCCAATATTATTCTCAAAATCCTATCCAAAATAATAAACCGAACGCACCTGATCATTTTTTTATTTATTTTATGATAATAGATGTCAAGTCAGTTTACACGTATCTCGACTAATCCTTCGCGCTGAGATAACATGTTACAACAAGCATTTTCAACAAATTAACCTGTTACGAGACAATGCTTGCGTCGAAAAGAAACATATTCTGGTGGTGCCTAGGATTATCAAATTTCCAATAGAACTTTTATTATATTATAATTCTCCATATCATAACAATACTACAGATAACAGGCTTAAATCTCAGCTCTTAATTATCTATAACATGATTAAAAGAAACAAGGTGCGTGACTTGCTGTGGATCCTCCCAAACAACGGCCTCATAATTGGTGGTGACGGAGCCACTTTCTGCAGCCAAGACAAGCTTGTAACTATACCCAGCCACCGCCTGCTCTTCGCCGTTCAACACCTTCACAAACTTCAACTCACCCTTTGATTCTCTGTTGTACTCCTTCACTGCAAACTGCCCCACCTCTTGCAAGTAGGGATCTTTGATGTTCGTTATTGGGAAATAGCTGCCTGTCTGTGCTCGGACGACACAGTCTGTGGCCAAGAGGAGGAGGAGGAGCCTGGCAGAGATCAAAAGAGGATCGGCACAACTTTGTTTCTTCATCGTAAGATATATGTTTTCTCAGTAGAAACAAATAAATATTAACTTCTAAATTGCTTCTAATAACCAGGCATTCAAAGGGGCATTTTATAGTAGAAATATTGTTATATATGTTTTTAAAGAAGTAAATTTTGTATTCGTAAAAGAGAGTTTCGTATGGAATTCTAATCGTTTAAACATTAAAAGAGAGAGGATAATTTTGTTTGGAGTGTAAATTACAGTGAGTCGTAAACTCAGTAACTTAGCTATAGCTTCCTTCTGTAGACGATTCCATAGTGTGTATATAAAGGAAATTAACCAGTTCTTATTCTTCATTAATGAAAATAGAGTTGCAGAATGCACTATTCATTGTCTTCAACCTCCAGCTTAGCTTAGCTTCCTGTTGTTCTTAATTATAGCTCATTTTTCATTATATTTCTCCGGGGATAAGGTTCACTACATGATGTTACTCTAAACAGAAGTGTGATAGGAGCTCTTTAATATGCTGCTGTATATTATCCCAGGCTAGAAATCTCATATGCAGAGAAATCAGTTTCTACAAGAACCAAATGGTTTTCATTGACAAGCTGTAAACACATGGCTTAGATAGCTTAAAAGACGCGTTTGGTTCAGGGAATGTTGGATTACTGGAATCTTATATTACCTTGAAGATTATTGGAAATCTTTAAGAAAATGTGTTTGATTAGTTTGTAGATATGTTATATTAATATGTTTGGTCAAGGGAAATAAATTGGTAAGTATCTTATTTAAATCACTAAATTGTCCCCTTTTTAAATATTAATATAATATTATTTTTATTATTTATTTTTGAATAATTTCTTTTAACCCCCAATATTTCAGATTTAGTTAAAACACTCCACTTATATAAAACTTAAATTTATGTCGAAATCATTCCCACCCCCTGCCGCCACCACAAACCACTACCGGAAGTCTCCAAAAGTCACTGTGACCACGAGGCTTTGATATGGCTGTTTTCGGCCATCAATATGGTTGAAAACAGCCATGTCGAAACCTCCCACCGAATCTCTATTTTTTTTTGGGACTCCGACGACTTTCCGACAACGGTACGTGGTGGTTGGCCCACTGTCGACAGTGGTGGTTTGTAATTTTTTTAAATATAAGGGCATTACTGTTCAAAAATTTAATTAAATAAGGGTAAAATTAAAATGGTATATTACCGTAAATTTATTTTAAAATAGGGGCATTATTGTTTAAATTTTTTATTAATAAGAGATAGAATTGTACCAAAAATAAGATTACCTTGGTAATCTTATAATATATAAGAAAATGAAAGTAATCAGATTATCTCCAATATTACCAATAGTAACAACTATTAATAATACAAGATTATCATAATCTTATATTACTTGACAACCAAATATGATAGTTAAGTAATATAAAATGACATAATTCTGATAATCTTTCATTACCTCCGACCAAATACTCCGAACGGATATTTCACCGTGGCTTAAAGTTCAACATAAGAAACAGATTTAGGATTATGCAGATGCATATTGGACATGTGAATTAACAGAAGAGAAAGTCAATGATATTGGAAATGAAATATTTGAGATATGCATGTGAGATGTGACCAAGTTGTGTATATAGGTGATGGCCAGCTAGCTTCAGTTTTGCAGTCCATCCAAGGGATAAGAGCTTACCTTTAATGTCACATGCCTTGCCCACAGTATTTAGACTTTCGGTCTATTCTTTCGTTCCTCACCAACTTTTAGATTTCCAATTATCAAAAACAGTACTCTACAGCTAGACGTTTTAATCATAACATTAATGACTAAAATAATAAATCAATTTGGCTGCCGGCTAGCTGGATTGAACAATAAGTGGGCGATCAGAAATGAAAATGATGGATGGCCTCTTACGTATTGATCATGTTAAGTATTTGTCTCTTGGAACCTCAAATCCAACTAGCATTGCTAGTGACACGTCCAACCCAAATTAAGAGGTATATTTGCCAATCTATGATGAGAGGCTTATTTCTAACTAATTAAAACTCTTAGATGTATTACTTAAGAGATTTTGAGTTTAATTTCTCTCGATTGTTGATAAAAGTGACTACTAAATAGTTATCCAGTTGTTAACTTCAGAACCCTAAGCCTAAAAACCTCCCGTTAAAAAAAAAAGGCTTAATTTAAAGAGTATCCAGATAATATGCTAACAAATAGCAGAATAAGATTATGATTCTAATTCTGATATGATAAACCTTGATTGTCCAATCTATTGGATTTGTATATGAAGTTGGACCGCTAGATTTACTTATAAACTCTTATATAAAGTTAGTTAATGTTAGGTTATTTTCGTTTCAAGCATTGTATTATTTTGAGAGCAAGAGAGTTTTCTGTCCGTCTCTTTCTTTCGGTGTTCGTTAGATTTTCTTGAGTTATATGCGATTCTCTGAACCATCTCTAAATTTGTATGTTTGAGAGTGGATTGATATGCAGGATGAGAAAATTTGCAAAACCTATCCCATCTTCTGATATTCCTCTCAACAGTGTAGATGCAAGACCATCAATTGGCTACCATTATTGTTAAATTGAATTATTCCGAATATTAAAAATTGATAATCACGGGTGAATATCCACAATAGTCATAGTCTAAAATAATCACGGGACCAAGGATTGACTATAGTCGTTGGAAAAGTTTATTTCTCATTAAGTATTTATCAAGCCAATAATCTTTAACTTATTTGTCAGGCTAGTCTTGTCCATATATATATATATATGTATATATATATATATATAACCTTTTATACAAATTTGCACTTATAAAATTTTGATGGCAAAAAATAATTGGGTAAAAGTTTATTTTAAATTAAAAATCACTAAATATTTTTTATCACATAAATTTACAAGGGATAATATATATAAAAAAGTTATAGATATAATATTATCCTATATATAATTAACAAATAATATTATGTTTAAACTTAATTAAATAAATGTTGCGGACATAAATTTTGTATGTACCTGTCGTCATCATTAATATGCATAATCAATGTACCTAATCACATGATTAGACGAGTTTGACAACTCATATTACCAAGGGTGAGTGACCATTTCCCACCCAAAGTTTGCTGTATTATTTTTCACCCCATAAACTTTGAAAAAAAACAATTTTTCACCCATAGTCAATCTCTGTCAATGGATTCTGGTACCTGACAGGGGTAAAAGTATGAGAAGACTATTATACCCTTTACTATTTTACTTTAAAATTTTAACAAAGCTGTATAACTTTTCTCATCCAAACTTTATTAAATATATTTTTCACCCCTAGTTTGGTTTATATTATTTTTAGGATTAATAAATTTAAAAAATAAAGTACGTTATTAAAATAAAATAATCAAAAAAAATTTATAAAATTTGAAAAAAAATTAAAAAACTGAGAACAAAATAGTTGGCCGAAATCTAATTCCCACTTAGCCAAGTGCAAATAAGTCAGAATCGCACCCAGCCGGAGTAGCTAGGTGCAATTCTGGCCAACTATTTTTTCCCAAATTTTCATAATATTTTATTTTTAGATTTTTCTTCTTTTTTACAATATTTCAGTTTCCTTCTTTTAAAAAAAAAAATTATTTTTATATAATTTCATAAAATATTTGCAATTTTAATGCAATTTTGTTTTGTTGTTTTATACAAATTTAATTGACATATATTATTATAGTTTTAAAAAATATATAAAATTTTAAATTTTTTTAGAAACACGCATACTTTAAAAATGAAACCTGGATTGTAATTACAAGAATTGAAGATATGAGTTAAAAGGAATAATTTCTAAGTTGGTGAAAGTAATTTTATGTGTTTTTAATGTAGGGGTGTAAGTAAAATTAACCCTATAATATATATTATAAGAAACGACAAAAATGCCTTTTACTGTTAAAAATAATGTTCAACGATGGTTGAGAATTATTTTTTTCAAAGTTTATGGGTGGCAAAATAAATGTGATTCACTCTCACCAATAACGTGAAACTTTGTCCAGTCATAATATCAGTTAACCACCGCCGACCGTCCTTCTTCCTTCTTAATGACCAACCCCACCAATTCTGTGTTTAATACTTGTCAGTCTCACCAACTCTCTCACGTTCGTGAAAATTCCAGAAGCAATCTTATCAACAACAGTAATAGTAATAAAAAAATGAACAGATAAAAGAAAATGAAAGATCTTTTATCTCTATCTCTTAATACTTTTAAATAATCTTTATTCTCATTATCATATCAATAAAACTTTGATTACAGGAACCGGTTTTTCTTTCTTACATTACATGCAGACATCAAAACGCATTAATTAACAGGCTTAAACGAAGTGAGGTTCTTGAAGTGCTCCCATGGCTTCTCCCACACGAGGGCCTCGTAATTCTTCGCCGTAGTTCCATCTTTCGCTGCCAGTACAAGCCGGTAATTGGTGCCGGAAACCACCTGCGTCTCCCCCTTCACCACCTGCTGGAACTTCAAGTGGGTCTTCGACTGACTGTTGTACTTGCTCACCGCGAACTGCCCGATCTCCACCACGTGCTGGTCTTTGGTGTCCTTTATGGGGCTCCACCCGCCCACCAGAGGGCCTGGACGGAGGGCGGCGGCCGCCATGAGAGGGAGGAGCAGTACGGAGAGGAGAAGATAAGGACAATATTGTTTCATATTGTAACCGTTGAGACTTTTGAGTTGTGTTTGTGTTGAAAACTTGAAATGTGTGTTGAGAATTTGGAGGCATTGTATAATTTATAGAGGAGGATTTTGGGTGATGACGTGTCGTGGGCTAGACGCGGCGGGATTTAATGCTGAGACACCGACATGGTGGGGCCCGTGGCGTATGGTTTGTAACCGTTTGATTTGAAGATGGTTTTACGTTTTGTATGTTTTATAGCCGTTGGATTTGGAGAGCGGAGAAAATAAGGAATGGCTGGTTTACCTTTGAGCATTGCAAATATAATGTGACAAAGGTAGGTAAGGGAAAAACCTCAGGGGGAGGTTTATAGTTTCTAAAACCTGTGGGGAGTAGCAAATATATGATGAAACCTAGGGGAGGTCTCAGAAATTTATAAAGGAAAAAAATTTAAACTTATTTATTAATGGAATAAATATTTAGGTTTCTCCATGAAATTCTTAGATTTCCTTACCTTATTGATGGCTTTACTACATTAACTTCCATATAAGTTAAGCAAGACATAAATCTGTTTCCATTCATAAAAAAACATTTATAATCTTGTTGTACACTATTAATTAAAAACAAGGGTTTATAACAAAAATCCCCCTTAAATTTAAGTAAATTACAAAAAATTCTCTGAAAATCCCCTTGCCGTCAAGTTTTTGGTGTTAAAATAAACTATAATGAGATAATTTCGTGAAGATTTATTAATTTATTATGCTATAAAGTCTAACAGTGAGGAGATTTATATTATTTCTGAAATATTAGGGGAGCATTTGTTATTTGATTAAACTTTAGGGTAGAGAAACCCTTAACCCCTAAAGTCCCTCATATTTGTTGAAAATAAACTTAATTTCCATATTTCTTAAAAAGCAGTTCTTCAGAAAATACTTATAAGTTTTTCTCAAAAGCTTTTTTCTCCCAATGCCTTGCATTGATTCAACAATATAATACTCATCCAAGTATTGATAATTGGTGCATATAGTTTAATCCCTTGTACATCCACTCACAACTCACACACTCAATTTTTGAGACGGGAATCATATTTTTCTCCCAGTAAAAATTAACTCACAATTCAATCTCACAAACTTTCTCTCATAACCTCGACGTAATAGTTTATAATTTATAAGGTCGTAATTGGACAAACGAGACTCGTTACGAGCTGATCAATTATTAACTGTCACAGTTATGAGATTGAGTTGTAAGTCTAATATTACCATTTTTTTCTCGCTTTCTTTTTCTCTTACTCTTTGACCTCTCTCTTGCACTCCATCACCCTTGGAACACCGAGAGATTTTTTTTTTTTTTTTTTTTTTTTGGATGTGTAGTGTACAAATCTCTCAAATTTCTGTCTCCACCAAAATATAAACTACCGAGCAACCTTACAACATCGACAGAGAAACTATAAAAGACACTCATGAAAGACACCCATGAAGGGAGGAGAACAAACCAAAGTGTCCATTATATATGCCTTTTCAAAGTTTGAACAAGCCAAGCAAACTGAAAATTTTAAATATATGTAAACCAGCAAACCAACAACATCACACTACATGCATTCGCTCAGCTCAATAAACAACAATACACATAACAAGTTTTTCTCTCTATTTCCTACATTTTATATATAACAAGTTTTTCTCCCTATTTCCTACATTTTATAATTATCCCACCACAAAATGTAGGAAATAGAGAGAAAAGTGTCTTTCAACTCACAATTTCTTGTGAACTTACCATCACTGAGTTCTCACTAATCGACCTTGATTCTTCCTCCAAATTATAGGTAGTAATTTGTCAGATTCGGGTAAGTTGTTCAGATTGTAACAGCAACTGACCTCAACATAATTTAGGAAAGGCAAATCCTGCTCTAAGCTCTTCAAGTCCAGTTGTAAATATGCCATGTACTTTAAACGTAGACCTTCAAGCTTCCATTTGGAGGTGCTGATACCCTCAGATTCACTTGTAGTACTCATCTGGATCTGGACAGCGTCTACATGTTCAAGACAGAGATATAGCAAACTTGAAAGCTGCTTAGGATTGATCCATTTTGGTAGAGTTTCATGTCGGTAGCGCTTAAGATAAAGCTCCTTAAGACTTGGAGGAGGGGAAAGTCGATCGAGATTCTCAAAAACGCTCTTATCTTTACAATTATCTGCATTAATAACTAAAACCTTAAGTTTCTCAAGCTTTGACAAGACATTGCATTCATATTCCGAGATTTCACTCTTATCATTTATATTCATTCGTAGAACTCTTAATTGCTTTAGGCTCTGGAGCTCAAGAAGTCGACAGCTTTGTCTGTTGGTCTGATTCACTATCTGAAATCCAGAAAGTTCCTGCAGATTTACTAGCTTCTCTAGTCCAAAAGGTAGGTATTGCAGACGACAACAAAATCCTACATCCAGGAGAATCAGCTTCTTCAAATTAGTAGTTGCTGGATCTAGTTTGGCTAAATTATTGCATTCGCTCAAAACCAAAGTTCGGAGATTGCGAAGCTTTCCTATTAAGCACGGCACTTCTTTTAGGTCTACAACTCCACTTAAGTTGAGATATGTTAGGCGTTTAAGTGAACAGATCCATTTAAAGAGATCTTCAAGCGGACTTCTTGTATGTAGATGGGAGAAATCTAGCACCCGTAGCGACCTAAGCAACTTCAAAGTCCTATCAAAGGAAACAGAATCCGAACTCGTATCAGGGGAAGCAGAGTGGCTTGACATCAGTAACAATGCCCTCAACTTTGAACTATTTTTCAATGATTTTGGATCCATGTCACTGGTGAAACCCAACCATCTTGAATCCTCAGTAAATTTCTGGTTGCATTGCTCATCAAAGCTGCCAAACGCCTCATCCTTCGCGATGTCAATGGTCATATCTCGAACCAGATCGTGCATCTTGCAACTATAGATCATCCCATCATAGGCTCGTCGATTCTCAACCTCAATTAGGCATCTACTGGCTAGTTGTGAAAGATATTCATATCCCAATTCAATAGCTGTCTTTCTCTCATCACCCAGAATGAGACCCTCTCCCACCCACCAAAGTACTATTTGTTCAGCATGTATTGTAATGTCTTCAGGGAAAATGGAGAAACACAATAGACATGACTTTAGATGAGCAGGGAGTTCATCGTAGCTCAGTTTAAGAGAAGATGTCACCGAAGCAGTGTCGTCTCCTTTGGTTGCCAATTGGTGAAAATCTTGACAAATCTCTTTCCACTGTCTTGGGGAATCAGCTTTTGGGGCAAGTAAAGCTCCAATTGTCTTGATTGCTAGCGGAAGTCCCCCACATTTCTCCAAGATTTCTCTTCCTTCCTTTTCTAACCCTTCATCGTAGCATCGTCCCCTGCTTCTGGAAAATGCATACTTGCAAAGTAATGACCAACTTTCCTCTTTGTTTAAAGGTCTGGGTTGATGGATCCTTGAGTCCTCGACTCCCATTCTCTTTATAACATCTTCCCTCCTAGATGTGATGATGAAGATACTGCTTTGACAGCATAACCTGCCCCACAAATCTAAATCCACTTTCCAGACATCATCCATGACAATAAGACATTTGTTATCGCTAAGCATTTTTTTAATTTGGGGCAACAGTTCGCGTTTCTCAAATCCAGAGCATTTCATTCCTAACTGTTCCAACATCCCCCTCATAATACGTTGTTCAGTGAAATTTTTAGTCACAGTCACCCAAATCGTCTTATGAAAGTGATGAATTACGTCTTTATCATTGAATAATTTCCGGGCAATGGTAGTTTTGCCCAAACCCCCCATCCCCACAATGCCAACATGGCGAAGTTCCTCATTACTGCTAAGCATCCATCCTTTTATCTTCTCAATATCATTCTCCAACCCAATTATCTCAGATGGGTCATAATATTCCTGCGAGATATTTCTTTTTCCTTGATTGTCTGCTTTATAATCGAGTTTGGCTTCTGCTACCAAATATGTCTGTAAATTAGCCTCCATTTTCTTAATCCGCTCGTTAATATTTTTCAGTTTCTTGCCTGTTTCATACATAAATTTCAATCCACGAGGCGAGAAATTCCTGCTGAAGGCTGATGATCCATGTTTCCGATATTCATCTCTAAGTTGGCAATCTGTAAGTATGTCATCAGCTTCATAAATTAGGTTTCTCATATTACACAGCACCGGCCGGAGAAAATCTCCATGATTCCTGAGGTTGTAAGTTGACAGGAAGGCCTTCATAGGATCAAGCTTTGTCTTCATTTCCTCCAACTGAGCTTTAAAGTCAAGTGCAAACTGGGCTTCATTTTGCAAAGCTTTGAGTACTAGATTTGACGTGCCATTTAGCACAGGCACCATTGCCAAAGCCATGCTTGTATCTGATCTGTGGATTGATGTTCACAAATCATGATAAGCAAATTATATACTCACCCGACAGAAGGAGATATTAAGGAGTTTCTTGCATATAATATTTCTGTCATTGAATTTTAGCAGCTTTTACCTTTCCATCTTCCTATTTATTTTTTTATAAAAAGGAGAATTTGTTTAGTTATATTGCTGAAAAATAACTTGTCTGTAGACTGTAGTAGTATTGAATTCACTATTGTCTCTAATATTATTCAGACCTAACCGCCCTGGTGTTATCATGCATATGATAGATCATATAGATGAACTGATCATAGTTATTCTCCTGAGTTATGGCCCATCATAGAAGTGACTCCTTATAAACTATATGAAAGATTTAAAATGTAGAGAGTTAATAGACTTACCTGAAAATAGCCACCCCTATATTTTAAATCACTAATGGATCTGGATCCGGCAGGAATGGCCAGATTTTTTTGGCCAGATCTATATATATATATAAGTTCTGTTTAGCTAAAATATCTTTTCAACACATAAATAATGATATTTTAGTAGCTTCGGCCATACAGATTTTACCCTCTAAATAATATTTTCCCATTTCAAAGTTCCTCTTTTTTCCCATTCTTCTACCTCTCGAATCAAGTTTATTATCTTTAAGACCATCTCCAATCCATTGCACCAAATTGGTGCAAATTTTGGTGCAAAACATTATTCCATCTCCAACCTACAACACCAAATATTACACCAAAAAGAATATTCTTTTTTTATTTTATTGTAATAATCAACAATTAATCTATTTCACTCATTATTTTTGTATATATTAATTAAATATTGGGAATGATATTTTAATTAAATAATAATTATTTTGAAAATTATACTAATTTAATAACTCTAGTTCTTTTCAATATTTTGATGATCTTACTGGATCTAGAACTAATCTATCGGAATACTAAATTGTTATTTTAATTTATGTTGTATTTTCTTTTAATTTTAATGTTTTTAAATTAGTGTTAATTTTTATTTTGAGTTATTGTAATTTAACATTTGCATTGAATAAAGTTATATTTTTAATTTTTCATCATTTTTTTAATTATATCATTATTATGAATTTATTATTATAAATAATAATCAAATTAAATTAAATACAAATAATCAAATTTGGTGCGATTTTTGATGTAAAATTTAATATTCAAATTAACTTAACAAAATTTAAAAAAACAAAAAAAAGCAAAATCAAAAAAAAGAAAAAACATTTATTAGTGCTACAGTACCACGCCAAAATGGCGTGGCGTTTGGCGTGGGTTGTAGCAACAACCCACGCCATTTTGGTGTTTTTCACGACAAAATGGCGTGAGTTGGAGATGTCCTCAAATTATATATACACACACAAGAACTTAATTAGCAACATAAACTTTGAGAAATACATACCTAAATTTTGCAAGTAGGCCTTGATATAGAGTATGCGAGATTTTCAATCCTGGAAAAATGAAAAAAAGAAAAAGTCTAGAGCGGATGTGGTGAAAACAGAAAACTTGTGCTTGGTTTAGTTCAGGCAAATAGAATACAGAGATCTTAAAAAGGAGAAGAGAGAGATTTACGTTGACTCGGAGAAGTGCAGCTACCTGGAGTTTGTGTGGATCTCTGTTACAGAGAGCAAGCAGTGCCTTGGTAGAATTGTTTGGATCTGTGTAACCGTATGGGTAACGGCCAATGGGTCTAATCCGCTGACAAATTTTTGGAATTGGTCAAAACTTAGAGTGAATAACTTTTTCCGCCTAAAGTTTTCCGCACTTACATTTTCCTACCCATAAACTTTGAAAAAAACATTTTCTCCCATCGCTAAATTCAGACGTTAGTTTTAACAGTAAAAAGGTAATATTGTCAGTTCGCATGTTACATATTTGGAATGCTGCTCCAATGTAGCGCCATTTGTTATACCAATTTGGCGTGAATGAACAGTATTATCCCAAATTTGGTATATCACTATTTATCAGCACTAAATTGGTGTGATATTGTTCATTCAGCCGAATTATTTTTTGTTATAATAATAAATTTATAATAATGATATAATTCAAAAAATGATGAAAAATTGAAAACAAAACTTTATTCAATGTAAATATTAAATTACAATAACTCAAAATAAAAATTAACACTAATTTTCTTACTTGATATAAACAAATCAAGGATATAGAGACTCACCATGTTCTTCGAAATGCATTAATTGATCATTTGTGGGAAGAACATACTAATTCAGAAAATTAAATTACTATCGATATGAAATTTTACTTTTGTATTGTTGTTGTTTTTTTTTTTTTTTTTTTTTTTGATATCATTTTATATTAGATGTAATATTTTTCTATATTAAATGTAATGTTTATTTGATTAAATAAATGCTTGATTTTATTAAATTAGTATAATTTTTAAAGTAATTAGTATTTAATAAAAATATCATTCATGATATTTAATTAATATATATATAAATAATAAGTGAAATAGATTAATTGTTGATTATTGCAATAAAAGAAAAAGAAAGAGAATATTTTAAGAAATATTCTTTTTGGTGTAATATTTGGTCCAGTGGATTGGAGATGCAATAATATTTTACACAAAAAAATTACACTGATTTGGTGCAATGGGTTGGAGATGGTCTTAATGTTACTTACACTCCTAAATTACAAACATATGAAATTACTTAACCAACTTGGAAATTAGCCATTTGAACCTCTATCTTCAATTTCTATAATTACAGATGAGGTTTCACTTTTAAAGTATGTGTTTTTCTAAAAAAATTAAAATTATATATATTATTTTTTAAACTTATAATAATATCTATAAATAAATATTTATAAAACTACAAAACAATGTTTCATTAAAATTGTATATATTTTTTAAAATTATACAAAAAAATAATTTCCAAAAAAAAGATAAGAAAAATCCAAAAATAAAAAATAATGAAAATAAGAAAAAAATAAAAAAAATAATAATAATATCTGTCAGTTAAATATTTATAAAACTAAAAAATAATATTTTATTAAAATTGTGATTATTTTATGAAATTATATATAAATATAATTTTTTTTTTTAAAAACAAAAAATTATGAAAATAAGAAAAAAATTTTAAAAAAATTATAATAATATCTGTCAGTTAAATATTTTAAAACTAAAAAATAATATTTTATTAAAATGTATTTATTTTATGATATTATATACAAAATATAATTTTTTTAAAATAAGAAAACAAATAAAAAGTTTAAAAAAAAACTGACATAAACGAGTTTTGTACTATGTACCCATCACTTCACACCCACTTCATGTACTGTATATTAAAGTAATACTCTCTCTTCCAGGAACATCCATGAGTTTTATTAAGAGAAATATGGCCCAACTTACACATACATAAGGTTTGTCGAAACGATAGTCGGTATTCAGAAGATTCTGAAATGATAAATAGGATCTTTTGTTATGTTTGTTAGTGATTTTCGTTTGATAATAGTGAAAAGACTAGAATACCCTTGAAAGTTTGATATTATAGTTTTTTAAAATTTAAAATTTTTTAAAAAACCCCCTAGGTTTGCTAATTAACTAAATATCCTATATATAAAATTTTAAAAAATAACAAAAACACCCATTGGATCTGTGTTAGAATATTGCGTTACGATACAAACCCGTCGGATCTGTGTCGTAGGAAGTCGATCTGGCATTTTCCAAGGCATCTCCACTCCTGCGTTATTTTGGTGTAAATTTCAACCCCAATAGTGCTTGCTACACCAATTTGGTGCCTGTTACAGTGCTCTGTCAAATGCACCAATTTGGCGTGGCACTGTAGTGGAAGCAAAATTTTTTTAATTTAAATTTTATCATTTAATTTAATTAATTTGATTATTATTTATATTAATATTTATAATAATAATTCATAATATTATATAATTCAAAAAGTGATAAAAAATTAAAAACAAAACTTTATTCAATACAAATATTAAACTACAATAACTCAAATAAAAATTAACACTAATTTAAAAACATTAAAATTAAAAGAAAATACAAACTAAACTAAAATAACAATTTAGTATTTCGGTATATTAGTTCTGGATCCTCTAAGATGGAAGCGCCAACTCCCAAAGTTGAAATTATCATAGATGAAAATATCCGATTTCAAAATTTTCTTGCTTGACATAGACAAATTAAGATACGAAGTTCACCATGCTCTTTGAAATGCATTAATTGATCATTTGTAAGAGAATATACAATTCGGAAAATTAAATTACTATTAATATAGAATTTTACTTTTGTGTTGTTGTTTCTTTTTTTTTTAATATCATTTTATATAGATGTAATGTTTTTCTATATTAAATGTAATGTTTATTTGATTAAATAAATGCTTAATTTTATTAAATTAGTATAATTTTCAAAGTAATTATTATTTAATGAAAATATCATTCCCAATTTAATTAATATATAAAAAAAAATAAATGAAATAGATTAATGTTGATTATTACAATAAAAGAAAAAGAAGAGAATATTATAAGAAATATTTTTTTTGGTGTAATATTAGTGCAGTGGGTTAGAGATGCAGTAGTGTTTCACACAAAAAATCATACCAATTTGGTATGAAACTTGCACCAATAAGGGAATCTTTTCTGTTTCTGATTTTTTGAGTTTCTAATGTTACCAGTTACCTCATATTTTGATGTCGTAATTCAATGGTCATTTGAACCCTTGGATGATGTTCGGGAAGTGATGTGGCATTTTGATGATGTGGCAATTGAGGTGGCATATGCCACGTAGGATGCCATGTCATGAAGTAAAAAAAAAAAATGGTAACTTAAAGTCTTAAACTTTCAGCGTCATTTCGCAATAAATTCAGCCAATTAATCTTATTCTTTCCATAACATTGTCACATCAACTTTTCTTGAAAAAAAAAAAAAAAAAAAACCCAACAGAATTATAAAATACCCATAAAATATGGGATATTATAAGATGGTTATTTTAAATTCATTCATGGGAGGGTGAAATAAGTATTTATAAAAGAATGATCAATTATATTGATGTAAGAAAATCATTGACCTACACGAAATTTATAAATAAGTGATTATCTTATAATGAGCAAGGAATATCCGTTTTTCGGTATATAAGTACATATTTCATACAATTGAGTTTTATTTTAAATTCTTTTTTTTTAATTTAAAAAATAAGAGAAATTAATGAAGATATTAATACTTACGTAATAATGAGATAAGAGCTAATTCTAAACGAATTCATGATTTTTAAATAGTACTGTAGAATCCCCTATCATCACTCTGCTGACAATACAATAAAAAGATGATAGAGAAGTGGAAGAGAGAAGAGAATCTCCAGAAATCGAGAGGAAAGTATGTAAGGAAGAAAAAGAGAAAGAAAGAAAGAAAGAGTCGTTGAACTCAAATGATACATAAGCATAATCATCTATATGACCAAAGGGCCATATGTTTTTAATCTCCTTGCAATAAACAAAAACAAAGCTCTGAAATGAAAAAGATAAACGATACAATATTTCTCATGGATGAGACCGAAACAACCGGAAAGCAGAGAAACCAAGAACCAGATAAATCGAAAAGAGAGAGACAAAGCGGGGAAATGCAATGGGTAAACCGCTTAGATCTTCTCTAGTTCACTCACAACTTCAGACATTTTTGGCCTGAGAGCAGGAGTCTGATCAACGCACCTCATTGCCAAATCAAAGATTGCAACGACTTGCCGCATGTCATAACTTGTTAACTTTTGATCCACCAACCCGGAATAACTTCCTCTATTATGTAACACAGCAGCCTGCATAAACGCAACTATGTCACCCTCAAATGCATATTCATATCTGAAAATTTAATCGGTTGATGTTGACTAAAATGCTATTACCCTTTGTAAAAGAGATTCAGTCTCTTTGTTCCCTTCATCCTTTGAATTACTCTGCCCACTAATTATTTCAATCAGAACAATCCCGTAACTGTAAACATCAGCTTTGTCTGTTATGGATTCCCTCCTTAGCACCTCAGGTGCCATGTATCTGAAACAATAAAAAAGTGATCATAAAGTTTTGAACATCGGCACATACAAATTGTACAATCATTTTATTTGTTCAGTAAGAAACAAAAAATAAATAAATAAAATTATTAAAAAAATGACGCTATGTACTTAATGTGTTACTTACGTAAACCCTGCAGCTATTTTGTGGAGAAAATCATACGGCTCATCCTCGCCATAAAGCATTGCTAGTCCTAAGTCTGATAGCTTAGCGTTAAAATTTTCATCAAGAAGAACTTTACTGGCTTTTATATTTCTATGAAGAATTTTGCCAGTTGCAAGTTCATGTAGATACTCCAGACCCTTTGCTATTCCACGGCAGATCTCAACTCTCCTTTGCCAATCAAGTTGCCGTTGAACATTTGAGTCATCTGCACAGCTTACAACATTTTTATTCTTAATTAAGGGTTACATTTATCAATAAAAATGGCAATATATATCCTTCGACTTCGCTAGTTTTCTTTTTCCTTGCAATGAAATACTTTTCAATCACAATGGGCATGCACCAGATCAATTAGTGGGGCGGCGACACTGACAGACATGGTAAAAGCAGTGATATGTGTTGCAATGGTAATATATTTAACAGATCAATTAGAACACTAACAACTTTATAATTTTTTTTGGATAAATAATGTAAAAAATTCTGAAAATTAGAACACTAAAATCGACAAGTATTTCAGAACCCCAGAAAGCACACATGGTAAACTATTTTGTAACCCAGTGTAAACCAAGAAACTTACCAAACAGGGCTTGTTGAAGCGAGCCGTTTTCCATATATTCGTAGATAATCAAGTAAATTTTCTTTTTTTTGTTAGAACAGACAGCCAATAGCTCCACAAGATTGTCATGTTTCAGCTTTTGGCCCGCATACACTTCATTTGTTATTTGATCAAACTGCTTTGTGTATGGAGGTAACTTCTTTACAGCAACAAGTTTCTCCTGATCCCGGAGTGTAGCCTGCACCAAAACAAAAGACTTGTAATGCTTGTTCATGAACTCAAATAATACAGATGCCCTCTATTTATTATTTATAAATTATCCTGAAAGATTAATTATTCTCCCATCACAAAAAGTACTGAAGAAGTATAATTTACCTTGTAAACCATCTGGCTAATCTCATTCTGAGGGCCGAAATTTCCAGTAGCAACAATCACTTCTTTGAGGGAATATTCTTTGTCTCGGATTTTCACAATGGTGTCTGTAGATATATAGAGAAAAATAAAAACAAATGAATAACTGAATTTGGCACATAAGTCTTCATCAGCTAAAATTCTTCAATGAGAGAGCTATTTGGATTTATTGCGTATAGACTTACTGTTCAACTCTCTGTCTCCCACCCATCCCATTCTCCACATGAAAGCCCATAAAAGAAGCGAAGCTAATGCAAGAGTGGATACAACAGCAATAACAATCACTACTATCCACTTTGTAGATAATACTCCAATTTTGAAGTCTGAATATATAGTGGTAGATAGCAACAAGAACCAAACTGTCAGTATAATAGAAAAAGGAAAATTTGAACAAATTAATGACAGAAGTGCAAGTGTACAATTTTTTACCAGGGGTTACAGATATAGCTGACATCAGAGGTCCATTAAGATTAGGTGGATTATACAGAGATCCTTTGCCAGCCCAGAATAAGCGGATTTCGAGTAGATGATTATCTACTGCAGCTGGGAAATATAAAGGATTCTTGGGATCTTTTTTTATGTTAAAATCCTCCTTTACTCTTGTACCCTGCAACAAAGAGTTCCTTAGCGGATGGCGTTTCTGAAATGTGGCATTTCCAGAAAAAAAAAAAAAAAAAGCACATTACCTGAATATATACATCAAACACACGCTTCCCATTGCTACTGTAGTCTTCATCTTTTGAATATACAATTTCAGCGAATCGGAGTTCCACAGTGTAATTGCCTTTTTGTAAGCAGAAACCATAATATGTCAGAGACTGAGGGCAAATTCGAGCATTTGTATATAAAATTGCCTCAGGAAAAGAAAATCCACATGTTGAGTTCCTTATGTAATCACTGGAATTGGCTGTTTTTGCTAAGAAATTTCCCGAACAAACATAAGCCCAACGCTTTGTTGGATCTACATAGAAAGCTTTTGATGATATATCTGCATCATAATGCTTTCCTTCAATATTTACATCCTCACCACCAGCATTTATAAACAAGGAATGGTCTGCAAAAGCAAGATTGTACGTATAAAATGATTGTTGTAATTCCAATTTTACCCTTTAAAAACAATGTACAGTTCTTTTATATGATCTTTCAAAGTTGATTTGATTTTGAGGGAATTATATTAGAAGGTGGTTTTTGAATAATTTATAAAATTCTAGGGGCGCTTTAAATATTACTCTTGAACTTAGCAACAAATATTTTTTTTCCAAAATGTAGGGGTGGTTTGAGAAATTAACCCCTATAAGACTTATCATCACTCAATAAAATGGATAATTCATTAAACCTCCCAAGGTTTCCCGAATACTAAAACCCTCTCAGTTACCAATAATGACGCAAAGCCCCCCGCTGTCTGTCAAATGTTAACAAAATTCTGTTATAGACTTATAGTTGCTAAAGGAGGGATAAAACAGTTATAACACATACTTGAGGGGGGTTTTAATGTTTGGACGAGCCACGGGGGTTTAAATTATTCCTCTTTTGTTATAGATCAATATTTAATGTCTCACAGATGGTAAAGGATTCTGCGTCATTACGTATATCTAAGAAGGTTTCTTATATTTGGCCAAACCTACGGGGTTTAAATAATTATCCCCTCAATAAAATACAACCTGATTTCTTAAAATTCTATTTTCTTGTTTTTCATATGAAGATATAAACCAAAGTTATTTCAAAATCAAATTAATTCAAGCTTCTTTATATTACAATATTAATTCATGATAGCTGGAGAAGGAACATACATTGGGAATTCGTGCCATTAAAATGGTCATCCAAGACCTTAGGGGGAGTCCTACAGAACACAAGTATACATATTGGTAAGAAAAATAATTTGGAGCTCTTCTAATTGCATAGTATAGAAGAGATGAACGTACATATCATTTGTACTTGGCTTTCTGGTCGTAGCAGCACATGAATAGACAAGTCAAACAATCCAGAAGTTAAATTTGTAGCACATAACAAAATGAATAAGGAGAAAGAGCAGTAAAAACAAGAGAAAAATTCAATATCCTTACCTATTTATCTGTGGACCTCTGCAAGATAACAAATTAAAGAAACTTTGAATTATTTTCCTTATTTTTAATGAATAAGCGAAATATTACAAACTTTTTAAAAATATTGGATACACATGTATCTTTGAAACTTTCGTAAGTGAAGTTTCAAATGCAAGAAGAATTTTTATGCAAGGAAGAGAAACAGGGAAAAAGAGAACGATTGATGCTATTTCCTTACACATTCTTTCCTTGTTCTTCAAAATCGTTATATGAAAAATCCCTGCAAGATAATTATTCATAATGAATGTGAAAATATCTCTTTATATAGTTAACATATAAAATTTCAAAAAAAATTAAGAGTGTGTGAGCATGACATACCTTTCTATGTTTTTCTACAAGGAAAAATTTAGAATACTATAAATTTATTTCACTTTAGAATTTTTTTCTCTCATTTATCTTTACATTAGATATGATTTATAGTTACCACATCAACAATACTAGAGTGATATCATAGACTATCCCAATTCTACTAACTTGGGGGTCAAAGGATTTACGTCAACCAACCCTTATCTTGTATCAACTTCATGAGCTGTCCTATCTGTTACCATGAAGGTTTTCAAAGAAGCTAAGCACTTTCCAGGGAAGTTTGTCAAACTCCGTAAAGGCTGTTGCATATCAGTTCTGTAGAAACATACCAAAAAATCATTGGCATGTTGTCTATCAGAAGGTATATTTACCTCCTTGAATTGGCTTTTACTTTTCTTACACTGTTAGTTTACTTTCCACATTAAAAAAAAAAAAAAAAAAAAATATATATATCAGATATGATAATTATATATATATATCAAATCCTATATGTTTTCCTAAATATAAATGCACTTAACCGGTCGCAAATCTAGCATTTTTGTATAGGGGGGCCTCCACAACTCTGTCATTATTTACTAAACAACTAGTAAAAACTTTAAAAAATCATCAAACCTTAAGCAAAAAATAAATACAATATCAAGAATCTGAGAGAAAAGAATGCAATAACACAATACTTTTCTACTTGAATAAATCCATGGAAAGCAAAATTTTGAGTAAATGTGTTAAGTAAACCTTGAGCAAAACTTTCTTTCAAATTTTTTTTTTTTTTGGCTTCCAAAGATTATAATATAAATTTTCTTACTTTGACCAGATCTAACCTAAGCTAAAGTCAACAAAAACTTAAATCAAGTCAACGTTGCGTTGACTTTTAATATGAATTAATAAAAAAAAAAAAGGATTTTTCTTGATATAAAATAGATAGTAACTCAATTTTCTTTAATTATTTTGAGTAACAGAACGGTGACGTTTGAAATGTAGGAAAATAGTGGGTGAAAGGTGAAAAATAACATCCTTTAAAATATAGTTAAGGTTTTAATTTGGGAAAGCAAGTTCATTCTTAGACACAAAATAAACTCACAAAATCCATGTCTTTTTCTCTCAAATTAGAATAAAAAGCCTTAAAAAAAAAAAATGATTCAACCCTAAAATAAACTAAATTGAAATGAAACAATACATATACCTAATATTGATAAAATAAAAAACAGAGCTAATTGTGACACCTTGAGCTGTGAAAGCTTCAACAATTCTAGTTTTCAAAAGTTTTAAGATCAAATAGTATGACGAAGAGAAAAAGAGAATGAGAGCTTGAAATATATATATTAATAAGATGTGAGCTTGGAATATATATATTAATAATAAGTTTTTTATGTTGGAGTTGTCGACTACTTCAGCATTAATGGGTAACGGAGATGCACTCGGGGGTCCCGCTGCCCGGACAGCGGGCGGGTGCCCCGCTCCCCGGTGAGCGGGCGGGGGTCGCGGGGGCAGCGCCCCCGAGCCCGTAGGCGGTTTTGGGCTTTTCCATGTATAACCGCTGTAGGATTCCTTTTAAGTTATTAATTCCTTTTTGGGTTGGGCTTAGGAATAGGAATTCTTGTAAAACTAGGTTTAATCTCTTAAACCTAGTATATAAACATTCTTTTCTCTTGTTATGGGCGTGAGAACAATTCATTCATTGTAAACGAGAGAGGTGAGGCATATTGCAATAATATTGACTCAGCTGGACGTAGCCTACATTGGGTGAACCAGGGTAAATCGCGCGTATTACATTCTTTGTTTACTGTTTGTTTTGTTTAACTATTATTATTTTGTTCCTGTTGCTTCTCTATTTCGTTCATTTTATAGGCCTAGATACATGTATAATAATTTTCATTTTTAAAAAAATATAAGAGTGAGTCTAGTATATATATTAATAGCAATTTTTGTGGGTTTATATATTGACAATTAAAAAAAAAAAAAAAAAAAAAATTGAGGGTAGGCCCTAGATCTGCCCCTGCACTTAACTATTACAGTTAGTATTGCAAACTTTGATATATACTTAGGAAAAATATCATTATTCAATGCATGCATCTATATGAATTATGAATATTAAGCAACCATTTGTAACCACAGTTATTTAAGTAACAAAGCTGTAAGTAATAATGAGTTAGTCGTAATAACCACCAATGAAGTTTCGGAAAGTGTGTTAGATACTCAATTTAAAAGTACTATACTAAACCACCCTGAAGCTAATATTGTTAAACCTTTTGTAATATAGTAATATGAAATAACTTTTCTGGCCCTAAAATTTATACTTTGGTCTTTAGATAATCTTTCCCATTTTTGGGACGTTGACTATATTTTGGATATATTTTCACTTTCACCCGTTTAATTTATTTTCATGGCGTCAAAGACCCGGGCTGGTATATATAATACCTCAAACTAAGCATCTAATTATCAGTTTATGAAAGGATAATTGTTACAATTAGTCCAATTGATAATTAACGTCCCAAAAATGGGAAAGATTATCTAAGTTGAAGTAAATAAATAGTATGTCATCATATTTCCTGAATAGTATAGAAACGTACCCCATACGTGTTATCGTGCCATTAATCCAGTCAGGGATCTTTCCATTGAGCTTATTTCCTGTAAGTAACCTACGAAGGCAGAAATTCCAACGTAGAGTAGCAAAGCCAATTTATAATATGAACAGGAATAAAATATTTCTGCTCTTCAATGTTTTGGCAAAAAACTGATAAGAAGAGATATAGAATGACGGTCTAAAGAAAGTAATTACATACATTGTTGCTATAGTCAGATTTTCAAAAGAATCTGGGATCCTACCAGTTAAGTTGTTGAAGCTCAAGTCACTGCAATGCACACAAACTTGTTGAGGACGGGCAACGTTAAATAACATTGTAATGAAGATAATTTAGTGAAAATTCATAATAAATTTTAGTTTATCATTAATATTTTGCTGTGGATGTTAAATTTATTTTGCTTTGGTAAGGCGCCAATTATCATAAAATGACATGAATATTTTAAAAACTGAAACGAACCTACTTCTTAGCTATTAGGTTTAAAAAAATATGTATAAATATAAATAAGAGAAGAAAGAAACAGCTTGGAAACAGAGAACAAACAGGTTTTTTAATGATGAATTCCAATTGCCAATATATGATGGGATTTCACCGATAATATTGCAGTTCCTTAGTACTCTGCAGAAAATTGTATCAGATCAAATCGAGTTAAACATTAGCAAATGATAAATATCCAAATGTAATATCAAAATAACCAAGAACAAAATTGATTTCCAGCAATGAAATTAAAGTTTCTAGACCTACATAGACTAAAATTATTATGGACAACATGAAATGAAATGTACACTTACAGAGTTTCTATTCTTGTCAAGTTAGAGGAGATTGGAAAAGCAAAACCGGTGCTTTTAAGATCACTAACTCGTCTGGAATAAACAAAGGCAATCGATAGTATTGAACGTAAGTATAAAGAGTTCGTTTCGCAAATAAGAAATAGTGGAGATAGGATAGTTCTTACAGAATCTCAAGACTTGTCATTTGAAAAATTGTTGAAGGCAGTACTGTAAAATTGTTTCCTAACAAGATCCTGTGACAGTCAGAGAACAGTCCGTCAAAGCAATCCATCCCTCCTAGCAACTTTGATAAGGTGGACTATATGCACCGAAATAAAATATTTCACACCTATTTTAAAGTACAAACTCTAATTTAATTATAGTTTGACTTTTCTCATCAATTCTCTACAAATTCTTTTTGGTTAATTTGCATTGTATTCTCTATTTATTAATACTGATTTTGTGCTAATATTATGAAGGTACGTGATGTGAAAAATCAAAATTTATAAATATTAATTCTAAGGATAATGTTGGCTATCAGGGGGCAGAACCATGTTGTGCCTGGCTAAGCGCGTGCGCACACGCACACACACACACTCAGGGGACAGAACCATGTTGTGGCCTGGCTAAGTTCGCGCGCCCACACACACACACATATAAATTCACCAATTTCATCACACACACACACACACACACATATATATAAATTCATTAATTTCATCACACACACTTATATATATAAATTCATCAATTTCATCCCTACAGATTCATTTTCTCCCCCTCAATTTTGAATTTAACTCTTTAGCCCCCCATAAATTTATTAAATTATCCTTTAATTTTAAAGTAGCCATAGCCCTCTCATTCATTGAAAGTTACTTTTTGCCCCCTCAAGAATAAATTTCCTACACGCCTCCACACAAGTTTTGAGAAAAGGAAGAGAAGCATGTAAAGCTTTGAGAGTCCAAAGTACAAACTTTATGTTAATACACCATTCTTTTAGTATATTAGTTCTAGTTTGTTTTGAAATTATTGTTTAACGTATTTAAGTTAGCATAAAAATGCTAGAAATAGCTTGTTTCTCTGTGTAAGCACGGTTGCTTTTTATAAGGTTCAAACCCTAATTCGAGTAATTATTGGATAACAAAATCCTTTTGAGATTTTTTGAATAATAAAAACCCTTTCAGATTTTTGAAATAAAAAACACAGCAAAAAAACAACTCAGTAAATATACATTAATTCATAATAGTGTAAGTTTAACAACACATTTATGGTTTATTAACAGTAGAGGGAATTTTGTTAATTTATAAACCTTAAGGGGATTTGAAGTATTCCATCAAACTTCAGGGATCGATATCTTTTAACTCTTTTAATTATTATAAAAAGATGAAAATGCACATAGGCAATTAGTTTTAACGGCTTCTTATAAACCTTAGGTATCATTGACGAACTCTAGAATTACATGTACCAATACTAATTTATTAAGAAATGCATATTATACAGCTTACAGTCTCGTGAGATTAGTCCAGCTCGCGATGAAGTGGGGAATCAGCCCACTCATATAATTCCCACCTACCCCGCTGCATTGACAATCAAGTTTCTAAGTTGTTAATAGACTTCAAAACATGGCTATAACTTACAAGACTACAACACGAATAGGAAAAATAAAACTTGTTAAAATTAATTAAATGGATGGGGCACTTACAACTCCTCCAAACTCGCAAGTTGTTCATACTCCTTCGGCACTTCCCCAGTTAAATAGTTGGATGTCACCGAACTGCAATCACAAAGCAATTGCTTCTAATAGAAAGTCATCTCTTATTTTATTCACTAATCATTATACTAGATTCAAAACAGAAAAAAAAAAGATTTCACTTAATTAACATTCCTCTTTCTTTCTGTCGGTCTTGTTCAACTAGATATATACTTACAGATCTTGAAGATTACTCATCTTTCCAAGTTCTTTTGGAAGTGTACCGTTCAGTTCATTATCATCCAAATACCTATTTTTATTTTTAGAACAAATAGCTGGAGTTATTTCATTTGGAGAAAGAATCATTTAAGATTTGAAGCAGAGTGATCGAAGAAAGATTACATACAAAATCTCAAGTCGAGAAAGCTCTCCAAGTTCGGGAGGAATTGCACCTGATAACTTGTTAGACGATAAATCTCTGCAAAACACCAGAAAAATAAGGTTACGCAAAAGAAATGATGCATATGTCATCTTATTCGTTACATTAACTGAAGAAGTTACATAGATTGTGAAGACACTTACAGGTATTGAAGAGAACTTAGATTACCCAAAGATGGTGGTATGATGCCGGTCAAAAAGTTTTGATCGAGGTCGCTGTAAGGGGAAAATAGAGACAGTTCGAAGTACGAAGAAAGAAACAAAGAAACAAAATTGACATTGTACATATTATCAACCAATTAGGAGTTAAGTGTTTCAATGTATATAAAATTAAACTGCAGTAAAAATAAAATTAAAAAATTTTGTATTGGCAAAGATGAATCTCGTAAAATAATACCATACTGACTCATCATTTACACATTAATACGACATAAACGATGTCGTGTTTTAAGTTGAAAAAAAATTTAAAATATTACTTAGAATAAAAAAAAAAAAAGGTTCTGAAATATTAATTAATCACACAATTATCTATATATTATTTATTGATGGATATAATGTGACACACACATAAGCGGTTAGTATATCAAAAAGGAAAATTCAAAAAAAAAGAAAAAAAAGAAAAATATATATATATATATAATCAAAGAAAAAATGGAATAAAATAATGAAAGCGTGTTTACATAATCTAATTAAAAAAGAAATTAACAATTTAAAGGATTAATGTGATTTAAATAAAAAAGCACTTAATTTATATATGAAACTAGATAATTACAAAATAGTCAATTTTTCTTTAAAGAGGTTAAAATCTATTGTAATTTTGATATGAATTAATTTTATCATTATACAAGATATGATAATGATTTTCTGGGAAACTATTAAACTGGATATTTAATATTCTTAATTTAAGGTTATATTAATATATTCATATAAGGACATTAGAATAGTTAAGGGACAAAGAAGATTGTATATATCTATAGGCTATGTGAGTTTTGCTTTTGACTTATTTACAAGTCTACAGCTAAATTCCGTTGCAGCGTATAAGAAACGCGGTTTCGCTACACGCAAAGTGGACCGTACATTCAACTTTCAACAATATTTTTTCTCCTCATTTTCAATAATAAAAAATTAAATATTTTGGGATTTTAAGTTGTGATGAATATATTTGGTATTTAATGTGGAACGTTTTTCATTAAAAGAAACAAAAGTATGAATATCATGCGAGTAGTTTAATAAATGAAAAAGGTTATAATTGATTTATATATTATATAAATTCATCATACAAGGAACTTAACATTACTGGATTTTTTGTTATTTTAATCAGAAGGAATAGAAAATGTTTATTTTATTAAAAATGCAAAAAATGAAATTAGTGAATTATTAGACGCGTGTGCACGCGCGGAGAAAGCAGTTAATAGTTTGGGCTTTTGGATAAATTGGGTGTGTGAAACAACGGCGGTTAAAGTAAAATAAAAGGATTAAATCCCCCCCACCACCACCACCACCACCCCCCCCCCCCCCAACCTACAGTCTTCAATGCTACTAAAACCCGAGAAACTGAGATAGAATTTCATTTTATTATTTTAATTTTAAATTAAATGAAAGTGGAGGTGATGCACTCTGTGGCATGAATAATCCATTATAAATTTTTTGCCTGTGTGAAATAAATGAGCTAGATTTCAAAGTCATATTCGTTATATATACACATGAGTAATGTTACAGCCACCGAAGGTTGCGTACCGAATCTGTACACCGAATGACGTAGTAAAATCTTGACCGTTGATTCATTATCAATTAATATTAATCAACGGTCATGATTTTGTCACTTCATTCGGTACATAGATTCGGTGCGCAACCTTCGGTGACTCTATCATTTTCGATATACACATATATACCATAGATATAGCTACTCATTAAAAGATACTTACAGTTCAGTTAGGTTCTTCAAATTCCCCAAGCTCAAAGGTATAGTCCCGATCAACTGATTGCTTGATAGGTCTCTGATCATTACACATATATAACATAGATATAGCTATTCATCATTATATTGGAACTTAAAATTATAATATACCATTAAGAAAATAACAATAAGAATTATTGAACTTAATTGTGTAGCAAGATTCTAGACTTGCAGTGTGATAAGATCTGATAAATCCCCCAAGTTAGAAGGAATGGAACCATAAAGTAGGTTATTGGATAGATCGCTGTTAAGTTTTTGACAACAATCAAACCGCTAAATATTCGAGCAGAATGATGACATTGTTGACCTTGTAACATGATTAAATGCAACGATATACTTACAGTGTCTGTAGGTATGTAAGCTTAGTGATATCTGGATGGATAAATCCATCTAAAGATGCACTCGCCATGGTTCTGTTCACCAAATACGGTGAAAATTAACATAAAAAACTTTCTTTATGGTAAGATGGTAAGGTTCATTGTCAATTCGAAATTTTGATTGTACTACAAATATAGTTGAAACTTACATTTCAATGATGTGCCACTCATTATCTGGACCAATAGTATTCGAACAAGTGATGTTGATAGAATTAAGAGACGGTTGACGGTCGCAGAACGAAGATAAGATAGTTGGTGGTGACGTTAAACCAAAGTAATATACGACATTGTCAAGAGCATCCGCTGCCCACATTTGGAAAATAAATCCTCTGTTAGAATAAGAAGCCTAACCATGGGAAAGCATGCATACCAAATGACTGTAATAGCATGTTATAACAGTGTTTTTCTTTTTCTTTTTTTAATCATGCTCCCTCATCCGCGCAAATTCAAATTAATTTAATCTCTAGACCTTTTGCTTCTCGCTATAGTTAACTAAGCTAATTAAAATAATTAATTAAACTGCAAACGTCCGACCTCTTTACATTTTGTTAAGCTGTCTTTTCTGTTTTCATGGTGTAAGCATAACACGAACGAAATCCAATCTTAAAACTGATGTAGATACTCAAAAACTGTTAGGACAGGAAGAAGTAAAAAAGTTTGCACTACATCTGGTGATCAAATTAAATACCTTCAGAAAACTTAGATGAAGACTGAGGGGCAGGTGAAGGTGAAGGTGCATAGTCGTCAGTCATCTGGGCTGAACATCGAGATCTAGATCCAGAGTCAAGTGGACAAAGAACAAATAAAACAAGGAAGAAACTAAACTTAGTAAGAAACATTACAGAATGTTCATCCATATTTTTTCTTTCTGCTCACGCAATGACGGTCACTGCTGTGCTCTTTGCTAATGAGCGCACTCATCTCGATTCCAATATTATTATTTAAAACAAAAAAAATTCGAAATTTTTGATCGCATAATTTCATGGTCCCCCCCAGTGCCCCCACCCCCTCCCCTTCCCTTCCCCGTACTTCAGAAAATGATGGCGCAGGATAACTATCGTTACTTACCCCCATTCAATCCGGAGAGTAGCAAGTTCCTCCCCAGCCATGAAACGCCATCAATGAGCCGTTACATGGTAAAGGACAATATCGACCTTTCTGTTTTTTAGGTTAAACAAAAGACAAAAGTTTGTCACTAACCTGTAATAGTTACCCGTTATTTCCTGGGAACTCTTTTTTTCTGCTTTATTGAATAAATTAGATATTCCATGGGGTCATTTCAGATTTCAAGGAGGGATTAGGACAAGGCCAATCTCCTAACACTCTTAAATAAATGATAATATGCCATGATTGATGGTGGTATTACCGTTTTACAGGTCCATTGTTAAATAAAATTTGTAAGTTTATCTTTATGGTATTATTAAGTTAATGCGTTGGTTAATATAGATGTTGTTATTATGTAAACATTTTACAGACTGCATTTTCTTAGTTCAAAAGAGACCATTAATTTGCTACCATTAAATTGTGGGATATAAAGAGGGTGAGCAAAAGACAATTAATTCTTGAATTACATACAATATAGGGTTCATGCCACTTTAATAAATCTTTGAATATTAATTTTTTACATTTGTAAAACCATCCAAGCAAATTAACATAGTGTATGGGCTAAAAATCGTATTACATCTGACAAGGTCTAATAACATCATAAAAACGTCATGACCCAAGGCCTTGGCCTGATTCTGATCAAGCCCATGCTTAAACTACCTTATGAATTACTTGCTCAATGAGTTGGGTTACTTTACGAGTTAAGCTAAACTGATTAGGCCCATTCGCCCACAGCAGTCCATAATAGGGACCACAATCCTAACCAATTTCCTCTTCTGACAAGATCTTAGATCCTACCTAAAGAGGAAAGCCTGAACCAATAAATCTAACCTCCTTTCAAATGAAGAACTCTCCTACTAAGTAGGACTAGAAGTCCTACTAGAATTCAGACCCCTCGGGCTCACTATATAAACAAAGGCAAACCCTCACATTAGAGATTGAGAAATCACTCATAAGTTCTAGTATTCTCACTCCCAAGCTCTGAGCATATTCCAATGACATCCAGATGTTACTAAAGCCCCCTCAACCGCAAGGGAATACTCGACATGTCCATCAAGATTGTCAATGGTTTACACCACAAGATCATGTCTTTACAAGTTTAATTGTAAATTTTATCGTTTACATAGAAAACAGATATATATCTCAAGTAATTGATAAAACAACATTACAAGAACACACACAACTCAAGCAACACCAATCCATAGCAATAACATCGTTCCCACACATGTAGGGCTTGGATAAAATTAACTAGCGATAGAATTGTCTTCAACTCATAGTGTCTATAGAGTTGGTGTTGCTCCATCTGTCTTGTCGTTTACATTAGCATTACAGTCATACATATTACAAGGAGAATAATGTTGTTCATTTATTTCATTTTGTATGGGGCAAATCGAAAAATTGGTCTTTTCACACTTCAAATTTTAAACCGTTTTTTCTTAATTTAAAGCTTAATACAATGGTATTTAGGTCATTTAACTTCTTCACTTTTGAAAAACGACAAAACAGAGGTAAATTTCTCTTTAATTCTATATTGTCCTTTAATATGCAATGGCTCATTGACGGCGTCTCATGGTTGGGGAGGAACTTGATACATTTCAGATTCAACGGGGGTAAATAAATTAAAAATTGCATATTTTCTGAAACAGCCAGGGGCCAAAGTGATAATTTAATCTGAAATAAAGTTGGAATATTCCTTGGGGTCATCTTAGATTTTTAGGAGGGATTAGGACAAAGCTTATCACCTCATAGGACAAGGAAAAACATCTATTGTGAATTATCGGTGCTTTGCAATTATGACAGTCCCTCAGTACTCCACAGAAAATGTATAAGGTCAAATTGAGTTGAACATTAGCACATGATGAACATCCATATGTAATAACAAAATAACAAAATGGTTTAGTAAGAAGTAAATTGTATGGTAGATTCTTGCGACAATGATTTGATATTCCAAAGAAGAATGATTTGAAACCGAGTTTTGTCTACATGGGACTGTGGAGAATAGTCTGTCCCCACCAAGCATAGACAAGTGGTTGAACTTACCCATTTTAATTATCAATCATCATCACCAGTGTGGTCCTAAATTATTTTGGCAGAGAGGAGGCTCCAGTTGTGAAGTTTCAATTTTCAAACTGTCATTTTGCTATAAGTTAGGAATAGAGGGGGCCCTTTTGGAATAAGTTAAAGCAGGGAATTATGAATAGCTTTTGGTATAAGTATACTCCACTTACGTCTCTATTTATGGTTGATAACAAGGAATATGGACTACTTAGATCTTCATTATCCTGCAGCCTTCATAGTTGATCTTGAAAAGATTATTAATGGCTAATATCTTTGATGGGAAAAGAAACGTAGCACTTTTAACGTGGAGTTCTAGGCTTCAATTTCTATCGGAATTTCGGTCTCTGAGTTTTCATTGTCAAGGGATTCTCTTTTTTTTAAAAAAAAAAAAAAAAAAAAAAAAAAAAAAACTGATAACATTAGTTTGAACTTAAGAAGCAATTGATTGCAAGAGCTACCCTACTTCCTGTATGGTAACCAGACGGCCGCATGCTCTTGTCAGGTAGACTTTGGAAAAAATAGGCATAGCTTGTTTGGCACGGCGGGATTATTAAATTCACATGACTTTTTAATCCCAATAGAGGCAACCCACGAAACTTCCTTGAAATTTCCTCAGCTTAACCCAAGTCAGTTAATGGGACACCTTTGTCCACTGTGATGGGTCACTTTCCGTCCCCATTTGGGTACATGAGGTTATTTGTCCTGTAGTAATTTTTGCTCCATTTTTTATTTTTTATATATACAAATTGAATAAGGGTAACTTGACAACTTCTCGCAATTTTTTTCACACCTGCTAATGTGTCAGTTTGTAATTGATCACTCATAATTGATTAATTTGTATTTAATTAGATATAACTCTATTATGTCCAAAAAATATAGGACTGAAGTAAAATCCAGTCAGCCTATAAAAGTCATAGCATGGATACACCCGCAGCCTGCTTCTGTCAGAATAGTGGACGCGCGTCAGGCCAACCAGAAGCTGTGATGATCCCACATGTCTAATTCCTACTCCAAATCACGCAGATCACTATAGAAGGTGGGCAATGTGACATAAAGAAGGATTTTGCATGGATAATCTCACCAACCTATAGATTCAGTGATAATTGCCTCAATCCATTCCGCTATAAATTGAGAGCTCCTCTCTCATTAAAGGGGATTCGCATATTTTTACTTTTGATTAGCTACCATCTCTCTAGAATATACAGCATTTGATACCTTGTATTATCATTGTAAAGTTAGTCAGCTAAAGCGACCTTACCCTTATCATTAATATAAACATTAGTGGACGTATGATTTGCTTCCTTAGCATCTGAACTACTTTAAAACTCATTTTTTACTGCATTTACTCTCGATTCTTTCTCTTTCACATGGGTCTTCTAGGCCAACTCAGCTTATAAACCTTAGGTATCATTGACGAACTCTAGAATTAAATGTACCAATACTAATTGATTAAGAAATGCATATAAATATATAATACAGCTTACAGTGTATTGAGATTGGCCCACTTCGTGATGATGGGGGAATCGGCCCACTCATATTATTCCCGCCTACCTCTCTGCATTGACAATCAAGTTAATAGACTTCAAAACATGGCTACAAGCCTACAACTTACAAGAATGCAAGTTACCAAGAGGTAAACACGATTACACGAATAGGAAAAATAAAACTTGTTAAAACTAATTAAATGGATGTGGCACTTACAACTCCTCCAAACTCACAAGTTGTTCATACTCTTTCGGCACTTCCCCAGTTAAATAGTTGGATGTCACCCAACTGCAATCACAAAGCAATTGCTTCTAATAGAAAGTCATCTCTTATGTTATTCACTAATCATTATACCAAAAAGATTTCACTTAATTAACCATTCTTCTTTCTTTCTGTCGTTCTTTTTCAACTAGATATATACTTACAGTGCTCGAAGATTTCTCAAATTCCCAAGTTCTTTTGGAAGTGTACCGTTCAGTTCATTATCATCCAAATACCTATTTTTATTTTTAGAACAAATAGCTGGAGTTATTTCATTTGGAGGAAGAATCATTAAAGATTTGAAGCAGAGTGATCGAGGAAAGATTACATACAATATCTGGAGTTGAGAAAGTTTTCCAAGTTCGTGAGGAATTGCACCTGATAACTTATTAAAAAATAAAGATCTGCAAAACACCAGAAAAATAAGGTTACGCAAAAGAAATGATGGTGGTATGATGCCAGTCAAAAAGTTCTTCGTTACATTAACTGAAGAAGTTACATAGATTGTGAAGATACTTACAATGTGTTGAGAGAATTTAGATTGCCTAAAGATGGTGGTATGATGCCAGTTAGAAAGTTCTTCCAGAGATAGCTGTAAGGGGAAAATAGAGACAGTTTGAAGTACCAGAAGAAAGAAAAAAAAAAAAAAATTAGCTTTGTACATACAATAAACCAATTACAAGGTACTGTTTCAATGTATGTAATATGCACTCTGTGGCATGAATAATCGATTATACATATATTCGTAGTATAGAAGATTTTCTGAAGAAGAGGGATGGACCCAAAATTTTTGTCCGTGTGAAATAAATGAGTTAGATTTCGAAGTCATGAAGCATTAATTTTATATTACAATTTTTTTTTCTATTATTTTATCGTCCATGTGATGGTAAAACCCTTTATTAATTTTTCTTCTTGTAAAGAACCACAACTTCAAATATGGGATGAGACACAAAAATATTATTAAAAACGCTCAAAGAAATTACTTTAGTAAAAAGATGCTTACAGTTCTGTTACGTTCTTCAAATTCCCCAAGCTCAGAGGTATAATCCCGATCAACTGATTGCTTGATAGGTCTCTGATTATTACACATATTCGTTATATATAATTATATACACATATATACCATAGATATAGCTACTCATCATTACATTGGAACTTAAAATTATAATATACAACTAAAAAAATAAAAAATAAGAATTATTGAACTTAATTGTGTAGCAAGATTCAAGACTTACAGTGTGGTAAGATGAGATAAATTCCCCAAGTTAGAAGGAATGGAATCATGAAGTTGGTTATTGGATAGATCACTGTTAAATTTTTGACAACAATCAAACTGCTAAACATTTGAGCAAAATGATGACATTGTTGACCTTGTAACATGATTAAATTGAACGATATACTTACAGTGTCTATAGGTATGTAAGCTTAGTGATATCTGGATGGATATATCCATCTAAAAGTTCAGTCCCCCCGGTTCTGTTCACCAAATACGGTGAAAATTAACATAAAAAACTTTCTTTATGGTAAGATGGTAAGGGTTATCAACACAATTAGGAGTTAAGTGTTTCCATGATATAAAATTAAACTGCAGATAAATAAAAATTAAAAATTTTGTATTGGCAAAGATGAATCTCGTAAAATAATACCCATACTGACCTCATTTACACATTTACGACATAAACGATGTCGTGTTTTAAGTTGAAAAAAAATTTAAAATATTACTTAGAATAAAAAAAAAAAGGTTCTGAAATATTAATTAATCACACAATTATCTATATATTATTTATTGATGGATATAATGTGACACCACACATAAGCGGTTAGTATATCAAAAAGGAAAATTCAAAAAAAAAAAAAAAAAAAAAAATATAATATATATATATTATATAATCAAAGAAAAAATGGAATAAAATAAGAAAGCGTGTTTACATAATCTAATTAAAAAAAGAATTAACAATTTAAAGGATAATGTGATTTAAAAAAAAAGCACTTAATTTAAATGAAACTAGATAATTACAAACAGTCAATTTTCTTTAAAGAGGTGAAAATCTATTGTAATTTTGATGAATTAATTTTATCATTATACAAGATATGATAATGATTTTCTGGGAAACTATTAAACTGGATATTTATTTCTTAATTAAGGTTATATTAATATGTTCATATAAGGACACTAGAATAGTTAAGGAACAAAGAAGATTGTATAGCAATTGGCTATGTGGGTTTGTTTTTGACTTATTTACAAGTTTACAGCTAAATTCTGTTGCAGCGTATAAGAATCACTACACGCAAAGTGGACCGTACAATCAAACTTAACAATATTTTTTCCCTCGTTTTCAATAATAAAAAATAAATATTTTGGGATTTTAAGTTGTGATGAATATATTGGTATTTAATGTGGAACGTTTTTCATTAAAAGAAACAAAAGTATGAATATCATGCGAGTAGTTTAATAAATGAAAAGGTTATAATTGATTTATATATTATAAAATTCATCATACAAGGAACTTAACATTACTGGATTTTTGTTATTTTAATCAGAAGGAATAGAAAATGTTTATTTATTAAAAATGCAAAAATGAAATTAGTGATTATTTGACGCGGTGTGCACGCGCGGAGAAAGCAGTTTATAGTTTGGCTTTTGAAAATTGGGTGTGTGAAACACGGCGGTTAAAGTAAAATAAAAGGATTAAATCCCCACCACCACCACACCACCACCCCCCCCCCCCCCAACCTACAGTCTTCAATGCTACTAAAACCCGAGAAACTGAGATAGAATTTCATTTTATTATTTAATTTTAAATTAAATGAAAGTGGAGGTGATGCACCTCTGTGGCATGAATAATCATTTAAATTTTTTGCTGTGTGAAATAAATGAGCTAGATTTCAAAGTCATATTCGTTATATATACACATGGTAGTTACAGCCACCGAAGGTTGCGTACCGAATCGTACACCGAATGACGTAGTAAAATCTTGACCGTTGATTCATTATCAATTAATATTAATCAACGGTCATGATTTTGTCACTTCATTCGGTACAAGATTCGGTGGCAACCTTCGGTGACTCTATCATTTTCGATATACACATATATACCATAGATATACTACTCATTAAAAGATACTTACAGTTCAGTTAGGTTCTTCAAATTCCCCAAGCTCAAAGGTATAGTCCCGATCAACTGATGCTTGATAGGTCTCTGATCATTACACATATATAACAATATGATATCAGTATATATTGGAACTAAAATTAAATATACCATTAAGAAAATAACAATAGAATTATTGAACTTAATTGTGTAGCAAGATTCTAGACTTGCAGTGTGATAAGATCTGATAAATCCCCCAAGTTAGAAGGAATGGAACCTAAAGTAGGTTATTGGATAGATCGCTGTTAAGTTTTTGCAACAATCAAACCGCTAAATATTCGAGCAGAATGATGACATTGTTGACCTTGTAACATGATTAAATGCAACGATATACTTACAGTGTCTGTAGGTATGTAAGCTAGTGATATCTGGATGGATAATCCATCTAAAGATGCACTCGCCATGGTTCTGTTCACCAAATACGGTGAAAATTAACATAAAAAACTTTCTTTATGGTAAGATGGTAAGGTCATTGTCAATTCGAAATTTTGATGTACTACAAATATAGTTGAAACTTACATTTCAATGATGTGCCACTCATTATCTGGACCAATAGTATTCGAACAAGTGATGTTGATAGAATTAAGAGACGGTTGACGGTCGCAGAACGAAGGTGAGATGGTTGGTGGTGACGTTAAACCAGAGTAATATACGACATTGTAAAGGCATCCGCTGCCCAACATTTGAAAAAAATCCTGTTAGAAAAGAAGCCTAACCATGGGAAAGCATGCATACCAAATGACTGTAATAGCATGTTATAACAGCGTTTTTCTTTTTCTTTTTTAATCATGCTCCTCATCCGCGCAAATTCAAATTAATTTAATCTCTAGACCTTTGCTTCTCGCTATAGTTAACTAAGCTAATTAAAATAATTAATAAACTGCAAACGTCCGACCTCTTTACATTTGTTAAGCTGTCTTCTGTTTTTCATGGTGAAGCATAACACGAACGAAATCCAATCTTAAAACTGATGTAGATACTCAAAAACTGTTAGGACAGGAGAAGTAAAAAAGTTTGCACTACATCTGGTGATGAAATTAATACCTTCAGAAAACTTAGATGAAGACTGGGGGCAGGTGAAGGTGAAGGTGCATAGTCGTCAGTCATCGGGCTGAACCCGAGTCAGATCCAGAGTCAAGTGGACAAAGAACAAATAAAACAAGGAAGAAACTAAACTTAGTAAGAAACATTACAGAATGTTCATCCATAATTTTTCTTTCTGCTCACGCAATGACGGTCACTGCTGTGCTCTTTGCTAATGAGCGCACTCATCTCGATTCCAATATTATTATTAAAAAAAAAAATTCGAAATTTTTCTTACCAGTCACTTCAATATAGCTGTAAGCCGACGTTTTCACCCAATAACCTCACAGTTACGTTATCTATTATGTTTTTTTTTTTTTTTTTTTTTTTTTTTTTTGAAAAAAGAAACATAAATCTCTACTGTTTTAATGTAAGTAAATTTAGGTTCAAGGATTTAAAATAAGTAACATAACAACTCACAGGTTTAGTATTGTAACAATTTTAATCAAATAAAATAATAGCCTGATTAAACTCTGATTTAAAATAAGGTTATTTTCTCTGATTTAAACTCTGATTTAAAATAATTTATAATAAAAAATAACCTATCTACTCTCAGTCTCATTTATTATTATTATTTTTATAGTTTTTTCACTTTCTTCCTTGGTGCCTCCCAATTAATGTTGACTTTACGTGGTATATGGGATGTAAATATTGAATCAGTGTCACATGGAATGCAATTTAACAATTACAACACAATTGGTAATAATAATATTAGGCTATGATAACGGTGATGGGTCTTCAATATTCCTCGAATTTGGAGGTCTTTGGGGTCTTCTATTTCTATCCAACCAAGCTAGAGGAAGCATGAATAAATCGTGGATGTGGTCCGAAGTTTCAACCTCCTTTGAAGCTTGGGTTTATATTTCTGGGGGCTACTTTTTAAGGATTGTAAAATTATAGGCTTACAATATAGTTACTACAAGTAAGGGGTCACTAGAAATAGTATGGTATTATTGAAGTTTATGACGTGGTAATGGGTTAGGTCTTAGAAAATTTTTGATCGCATACTTTCAGGTATCCCCCAGTGCCCAACTACAAGTAAGGGGTCGCTTAGAAAATAGTCATGATATTATTGAAGTTTATGACGTCGGTAATGGGTTAGACTTAGAAAATTTTTGATCGCATACTTTCAGGTCCCCAGTGCCCCCAACTACAAGTTAGGGGGCGCTTAGAAAATAGTCATGATATTATTGAAGTTTATGACGTCGGTAATGGGTTAGGATCTTAGAAAATTTTTGATCGCATACTTTCATGGTCCCCCAGTGCCCCCACCCCCTCCCCTCTCCTTCCCGTACTTCAGCAAATGATGGCGCAGGATAACCATCGTTACTTACCCCCATTCAATCTGAAGAGTAGCAAGTTCCTCCCCAACCTGAAACGCCATCAATGAGCCGTTACATGGTAAAGGACAATATCGACCTTTCTCTTTTTAGGTTAAACAAAAGACAAAAGTTTGTCACTAACCTGTAATAGTTACCCGTTATTTCCTGGGAACTCTTTTTTTTGCTTTATTGAATAAATTAGATATTCCATGGGATCAATTTCAGATTTCAAGGAGGGATTAGGACAAGGCCAATCTCCTCATCAGGCTAGGAAAAACATCTATTAGAAATATTGATGCTTTGCCATTATGATCGATCAAAATTCAAGATATATGTGAAAGAAAATGTGATGTTTGCATCCCACATCTCTTTGCACTCAAAATTCACTTTTCATTATCATGTGTGTAAAGATACAAGAAAATGTGAAAAGAGAAAATCATTTATTTTTCTATTTTTGTCTCTATACAGTATAATGAGAGTAAAACAGTCATAAAAAGTATGTTCCTAACACTCTTAAATAATGATAATATGCCATGATTGATGGTGGTATTACCGTTTTACAGGTCCATTGTTAAATAAATTGTAAGTTTATCTTTATGGTATTATAAGTTAATGGGTGTAATATGATGTTGTTATTATGTAAACATTTTACAGACTGCATTTTCTTAGATCAAAAGAGACCATTAATTTGCTACCATAAATTGTGGGATATAAAAAGGGTGAGCAAAAGACAATTAATTCTTGAATTACATACAATATAGGGTTCATGCCACTTTAATAAATCTTTGAATATTAATTTTTTACATTTGTAAAACCATCCAAGCAAATTAAACATAGTGTATGGGCTAAAAATCGTATTACATCGACAAGGTCTAATAACATCATAAAAACGTCATGACCCAAGGCCTTGGCCTGATTCTGATCTAGCCCATGCTTAAACTACCTTATGAATTATTGCTCAAGAGTTGGGCTACTTACGAGTTAAGCAAACTGATAGGCCCATTCGCCACACGCAGTCCATAATAGGGACCACAATCTAGCCAATTTCCTCTTCTGACAAGATTTAGATCCTACATAAGGGAAAGCCTGAACCAATAAATCTAACTCCTTTCAAATGAGAAATCTCCTACTAAGTAGGATAGAAGTCTACTAGATTAGACCCCTCGGGCTCACATATAAACAAAGGCAAACCCTCACATTAGAGATTGAGAAATCACTCATAAGTTCTAGTATTCTCACTCCCAAGCTCTGAGCATATTCCAATGACATCCAGATGTTACTAAAGCCCCCTCAACCGCAAGGGAATACTCGACATGTCCATCAAGATTGTCAATGGTTACACCACAAGATCATGTCTTTACAAGTTTAATTGTAAATTTTACGTTTACATAGAAAACAGAATATATCTCAAGTAATTGATTAAAACAACTATACAAGAACACACACAACTCAAGCAACACAATCCAAGCAAAACATCGTTCCCACACATGTAGGGCTTGGATAAAATTAGTACGATAGAATTGTCTTCAACTCATAGTGTCTATAGAGTTAGTGTTGATCCATCTGTCTTGTCGTTTACATTAGCCTTACAGTCACATATTACAAGAGAATAATGTTGTTCATTATTTCATTTTGTAAGGGGCAAATCGAAAAATTGGTCTTTTCACACTTCAAATTTAAACCGTCTTTTCGTAATTTAAAGTTATACAATGGTATTTAGATCATTTAACTTCTTCACTTTTGAAAAACGACAAAAAAGAGGTAAATTTCTTTTAATTCTATTGTCCTTTAATATGCAATGGCTCATTGACGGCGTCTCCTGGTTGGGGAGGAACTTGATACATTTCAGATTCAACGGGGGTAAATTAATTAAAAGTCATATTTTCTGAAAAAGCCAGGGGCCAAAGTGATAATTTAATCTGAAATAAAGTTGGAATATTCCTTGGGGTCAACTTAGATTTTTAGGAGGGATTGGACAAAGCTTACACCTCATAGGACAAGGAAAAACATCTATTGTGAATTATCGGTGCTTTGCAATTATGACAGTCCCTCAGTACTCCACAGAAAATGTATAAGGTCAAATTGAGTTGAACATTAGCACATGATGAACATCCATATGTAATAACAAAATAACAAAATGGTTTAGTAAAGAGTAAATTGTATGGTAGATTCTTGCGACAATGTTTGATATTCCAAAGAAGAATGATTTGAAACCGAGTTTTGTCTACATGGGACTGTGGAGAATAGTCTGTCCCCACCAAGCATAGACAAGTGGTTGAATTACCATTTTAATTATCAATCATCATCACCAGTGTGGTCCTAAATTATTTTGGCAGAGAGGAGGCTCCAGTTGTGAAGTTTTAATTTTCAAACTGTCATTTTGCTATAAGTTAGGAATAGAGGGGGCCCTTTTGGAATAAGTTAAAGCAGGGAATATGAATAGCTTTTGGTATAAGTATACTCCACTTACGTCTCTATTTATGGTGATAACAAGGAATATGGACTACTTAGATCTTCATTATCCTGCAGCCTTCATAGTTGATCTTGAAAAGATATTAATGGCTAATATCTTTGATGGGAAAAGAAACGTAGCACTTTTAACGTGGAGTTCTAGGCTTCAATTTCTATCGGAATTTCGGGCTCCTGAGTTTTCATTGTCAAGGGATTCTCTTTTTTTTTAAAAAAAAAAAAAAAAAAAAAAAAAAAAAAAAAACTGATAACATTAGTTTGAACTAAGAAGCAATTGATTGCAAGAGCTACCTACTTCTGTATGGTAACCAGACGGCCGCATGCTTGTCAGGTAGACTTTGGAAAAAATAGGCATAGCTTGTTTGGCACGGCGGGATTATAAATTCACATGATTTTTAATCCCAATAGAGGCAACCCACGAAACTTCCTGAATTTCCTCAGCTTAACCCAAGTCAGTAATGGGACACCTTTGTCCACTGTGATGGGTCACTTTCCGTCCCCATTTGGGTACATGAGGTTATTTGTCCTGTAGTAATTTTTGCTCCATTTTTATTTTTTATATATACAAATTGAATAAGGGAACTGACAACTTCTCGCAATTTTTTCACAACTGATAATGTTTGAGAGTCCAAAGTACAAACTTTATGTCAATACACCATTCTTTTAGTATATTAGTTTTAGTTTGTTTTGAAATTATTGTTTAATGTATTTAAGTTAGCATAAAATGCTAGAAATAGCTCGTTTCTCCGTGCAAGCACGGTTGCTTTTTATAAAGTTAAAACCCTAACCCTAGTCATTATTGAATAACAAAATCCTTTTGAGATTTTTGGAATAATAAAAACCCTTCGAGATTTTTGAAATAAAATAAACAGCAAAAACACAATTCAGTAAATATACATTAATTCATAATAGTATAAGTTTAACGACACATTTATGGTTTATTAACAGTAGAGAGAAATTTGTTGATTTATAAACCTTAAGGGGATTTGAAATATTACATCAAACTTCAGGGAACGATATCTTTTAACTCTTTTAATTATTATAAAAAGATGAAAATGCACATAGACAATTAGTTTTAACGGCTTCTTATAAACCTTAGGTGTCATTGACGAACTCTAGAATTACATGTACCAATACTAATTGATTAAGAAATGCATATAACACAGCTTACAGTCTCCCAAGTTTGGTCCAATTCGCGATGAAGTCGGGAATCAGCCCACTCATATAATTCCCACCTACGGCGCTGCATTGACAATCAAGTTTCTAAAGTTGTTAATAGACTTCAAAACATGGCTATAACTTACAAGACTACAACACGAATAGGAAAAATAAAACTTGTTAAAATTAGTTAAATGGATGGGGCACTTACAACGCCTCCAAATTCGTAAGGTTTTTATAATCTTCCGGCACTTCCCCAGTTAAATAGTTGGATGTCACCCCACTGCAATCACAAAGCAATTGCTTCTAATAGAAAGTCATCTCTTATTTTATTCACTAATCATTCTTCTTTCTTTCTTTCTGTCGTTCTTCTTCAACTAGATATATACTTACAGTTCTCGAAGATTTGTCAAATTTCCAAGTTGTTTTGGAAGTATACCGTTCAGTTCATTATCATCCAAATACCTATTTTTATTTTTAGAAAAAATGGATGGAGTTAATTCATTTGCAGAAAGAATCATTTAAGATTTGAAGCAGAATGATCGAGGAAAGATTACATACAATATCTGGAGTTGAGAAAGCTCTCCAAGTTGGTGAGGAATTTCACCTGATAACTTGTTAAAATATAAATATCTGCAAAACACCAGAAAAATAAGGTTACGCAAAAGAAATGATGCATATGTCATCTTATTCATTACATTAACTGAAGAAGTTACATAGATTGTGAAGACACTTACAGGTATTGAAGAGAACTTAGATTACCCAAAGATGGTGGTATGATGCCGGTCAAAAAGTTCCGATGGAGGTCGCTGTAAGGGGAAAATAGAGACAGTTCGAAGTACGAAGAAAGAAACAAAGAAACAAAATTGACATTGTACATATTANTTGAATTTAAGAAGCAATTGATTGCAATTTGCAGGAGCTACCCTACTCTCTGTTTGGCACTGCGGGATTATTAAATTCACATGACTTTTTAATTCCCAATAAAGGCGACCCAAAAAACTTCCTTGAAATTTCCTCAGCTTAACCCAAGTCAGTTAATGCCTAATGGGACACCTTTGGCCACTTTGATAGTGATGGGTCACTTTCAGTCCCATATGGGCACATGAGCGTATTTGTCCTGTTGTAATGTTTGTTCCATTTTTTATTTTTTATATAACAAATTGAATAAAGGTAGGTCATACAACGTTTTTTCATACAATGTTAATATGTTATCTTGTAATTGATCAATTTATATTTAATTAGATATAACTATTGATTATTTATAATTGATTAATTTATATTTAATTAAATATAATTCATTATTAGATAGATAAAATTTATTATAAATCGACCGATTATACATCATGTTAGTGAAAAAAATTAATGAAAAAAGTTTATAAATGTAATATTAGTGATACAAATTTCACTTTCTTGACACGTGCTTATCACCCTTCACTTATTTTAATGGTGCCCGTGTCGTATTTCAACTATGTTGGCTAATGGGATCATTTCAATGGTCTCCTAACCAAACCATTGTTAGAAAATGTTTTGACCATGAGTTATGGAATATGGTGATTATAAATGTATGTGAGAAACTCAAACTTCAAATCAAAATCATAATGCTTCTCACCCACTTTACCATTAATACACGTTCATGTAGGTGAAAAGACAAAATATCCATTTATGATATGCCCATTCTTCCTATTATAAAAAAAGTAAATTCAAGTTAGATAAATATTAAATAAACTGACAAACAATATTAATAATGGGTGTACAACTGTACATGATAGACATAATAATGAATTGATTTGGTGATTAGGAAAACATTAGAAAATAAATAAATTACTAAATGATATTTACAAATAGAATCATCTGCTTTATCTCGCTGTAGAAGAGAATGGTGATTAAGACATGACTTGTTATTGTTGTTTGTAGTAGATTGCACCTTATTGAGTTGTGCTCATGATGAGTTTTTTTGCATATCTTGAGAGATATTATCAGCATGATCACTCTTTTTGTTATTAGACTTAGTTTTTCTTTTGCTTTTAACTAAACTTCCACGCCTACTCATATTGTTGGTATTCTAAAAAGATATTATTTATAATAAAATAAATCATTGAGTTATAAATAAATAAATGAAAGAAAAAGACATTATTTAACCGTGACCATAATATTTCAAACATAGAGGGATTTAGGTATAGCAAAGTTTCTTATTTATATTGTGCTTAAAGTTTGATGTTGATGAATTATTCTTATATTTCTATTACTTATAATCAAGACCAACTAATATTATCTTAAATCCGTATCCCTTAATTAATTTATTTTCAAGAATTTTTCATAAAACGGAAAAGTTTCTTAAACTCCAATGTCAATTCATTCATCCATTTTATAAAAACTTAATTCATTAAGAAGTCAGATTGTGCATAAAAAGCAATCTTAGGATAATTGATTTTTTGGTTGCAAAATACTAATTAAATAATATAAGATGAAAAATGTAAAAGAAAAAAAATAGCAAAGTCTGATAACACTATTTATTGCAGCAGACATGGAAAAAGACAAAGCAAAAGTAGTAAATGGAGTCTCGGGAATCTGCCTTGAGAGGTTTCTTGGTTACAAAATACTAATTAAATAGTATAAGATAGANTTAAAAAAATAGTTTAGTAAGAAGTAAATTGCATGGTTAGATTCTTGCGACAATTATTTGATATTCCAAAGAAGAATGATTTGAAACCGAGTTTTGTTCACATGGGACTGTAGGGATATACTAAACCAGGGAATAGTCTGTCCCCACCAAGCATAGACAAGCGGTTGAACTTACCCATTTTAATTATCAATCATCATCACCAGTGTGGTCCTAAATTAATTATCATGTTATTTTGGTAGAGAGGAGGCTCCAGTTGTGAAGTTTCAATTTTCAAACTGTCATTTTGCTACAAGTTAGGAATAGAGGGGGGCCTTTGGTATAAGTTAAAGCAGGGAATTATGAATAGCTTTTATATACATTTAATATATGTCGGAGAGGATTTGGATGAAACACAACGTCCACACCATATTATTATACACTATTTTGGGTGATTAGGAGGACCCACGAAATTAATAGCTTCTGTCCTTTTCATGGTTTTCCTTATCACTTTCTTCATAATAATATAACGGTTACCATTAATTAAATCAATAACATCAACATCCTTTAACTATATTTCTTCACCATTTCTTTCCTTCAAGTACTCCATCTCAATCTCATAACAGATTTTATGGTTTTCTTTTTCTTTTTCATTGGTATATATATATATATAAAGCAGATGTGATCCAAGGAGAGTAGCTTTTTTGTGAATCAATCAGATCTAAATGCATGAAATATATGGTGAATCTAATAATAATTCTCAAGATCCAAAGCATAAAGCCGAAGCATAAGCTTTTTTTTTTTTCTCTCCTTTAGCGAAGTGACTACCAACTCAGCGTTAACCCCTGACCAAGTTTTTGGAAGTTTTACCTTTTATATGTGTTGCCCATCTAACTTTCAAATCTTGTCTGGTTCGTCCGTTGAGGAAAAACGAAAGTGACATCGAACCAACCATAGGTTAGCATTTACTATACATCATGTGCACATCAACAACACCATTGTCGTTTCATGGGAGCGCCTTTGGTTCTCTGTCTTTTCATGTTTAAATGATTTTATCTTAATATTCTACTTAATGCCTGCACAACACAACGAATGGAAAGATATATTTCCAGGCCCAGCAAGTAGAATTGACATGTTATTCGGCCCAGATAAAGCCCATCCAAAGCAGAGGCCTACTAATTTGTAATATGGCCCAATGGAGCAATGGCAATGTGGCCCAATGAAGTTGTGGAATTATTCATGGGCTAAGAAAGTGGTCCAATTATACTAGCCATAGCCCAGTTCGATCATAACTTACTACTGGGTGTACTGAATTACCCCCTTCTTTCAGTAAGTAGTGAGAAACCACAGTCGAATATACAATGTCTCTGGCTTGAAGAGAAAGAAAACCCTTTTAAATCCCTCCAATTCCTTTCCCTTCTCTCTCAGAAAGAAGAGTGATTTAGCTCAGACTTTCATTCATTGTCTCTCCAAACTTCAAAACGAAGACTTAGATAAAAAAAAAACCCTAAAAAATGTTCAGGAACCAGTACGACACGGACGTTACTACATGGAGCCCTGCTGGCCGATTATTTCAGGTGGAGTACGCGATGGAGGCGGTCAAGCAAGGCTCCGCTGCAATAGGTCTCCGATCCAAGACCCACGTGGTCTTGGGCTGCGTCAACAAGGCTAACTCCGAGCTCTCCTCTCACCAAAAGAAAATCTTTAAGGTCGACGATCACATCGGCGTTGCAATCGCCGGTTTAACCGCTGACGGCCGTGTTCTCTCTCGGTACATGCGATCCGAGTGTATTAACTATGGTTTCACTTACGAATCTCCGCTCCCGGTGGGCCGCCTCGTGGTCCAGCTCGCTGACAAGGCTCAGGTCTCTCATATTCAAGCCCTAACTTTTTAAAGCATATGTGAATTTTTGCTATTTAATTAAATTTTCCTAGTCATTTAGGCCCAATTAGGTATCTGGAGTTGTAGATTAGCTTCATGTTGCCAGGTTTTAGGAATGATATTTTTAACTAGTCATAAAACTTGACATTCAAGGTTTTGAAATCGAAGTGCAGTCTTCGTGGATTAAACTGGTAATTAGTACTAACGTAACGATTGGCGATAGATTATTACCATAAATTAGAAATAACGATGATATATAATGTTTTTGGTGTAAGTTTGTTGAAGGGGTCTGTGTGAAACTGGTGAATAGTACTACTTCATCATTTCTGATATTTACTTCAATAAAATAGAACCTGATTTCTTAAAATTCTATTTTCTTGTTTTTCATATGAAGATCTTAACCGATGTTATTTCTAAATCAAATTAATTCAAGCTTCTTTATATTACAATATTAATTCATGATAGCTGGAGAAGGAACATACACTGGGAATTCTTGCCATTACAATGGTCATCCAAGACCTTAGGGCGAGTCCTACAGAACACAAGTATACATATTGGTAAGAAAAATAATTTGGAGCTCTTCTAATTGCATAGTATAGAAGAGATGAACGTACATATCATTTGTACTTGGCTTTCTGGTCGTAGCAGCACATGAATAGACAAGCCATTGAAAAGATGATTTTAAAAAAAAAAAAAAAAAAAAAAGGAACAAACAATCCAGAAGTTAAATTTGTAGCACATAACAAAATGAATAAGGAGAAAGAGCAGTAAAAACAAGAGAAAAATTCAATATCCTTACCTATTTATCTGTGGACCTCTGCAAGATAACAAATTAAAGAAACTTTGAATTATTTTCCTTATTTTTAATGAATAAGCGAAATATTACAAACTTTTTAAAGATATTGGATACACATGTATCTTTGAAACCTTCTTAAGTGAATTTTCAAATGCAAGAAGAATTTTTATGAAAGGAAGAGAAACAGGGAAAAAGAGAACGATTGATGTTATTTCCTTACACATTCGTTCCTCGTTCTTCAAAATCGTTATATGAAAAATCCCTGCAAGATAATTATTCATAATAAATGTGAAAATATCTCTTTATTGTATATAGTTAAACATATAAAATTTCAAAAAAAATTAAGAGTGTGTGAACATGACATACCTTTCTATGTTTTTCTACAAGGAAAAATTTAGAATACCACAAATTTATTTCACTTCGGAATTTTTTTCTGTCATTTATCTTTACATTAGATATGATTTATAGGTACCACATCAACAATACTAGAGCGATATCGTTGACTATCCCAATTCCACTAACTTGGGGGATTTACGTCAACCAGCCCTTATCTTTTATCATCATCATGAGCAGTCCTACCCGTTATTATGAAGGTTTTCAAAGAAGCTAAGCACTTTCAAGGGAAGTTTTTCAAACTCTGTAAAGGCTACCAGAGTCGCATATCAGTTCTGTAGAAACATACCAAAACCTCATTGGCATGTTGTCTATCAGAAGCTATATTTACGTCCTTGAATTGGCTTTTACTTTCTTACACTGTAAGTTTACTTTCCACACACACACACACACACACACATATATATATATAACCATCAAATTCTACTTGTTTTCCTAAATATAAATGCACTTAACCAGTCACGGGTCTAGGATTTTTGTCCAAGAGTGCCTCCACAGCTCCGTCATTATTTACTAAATAACTAGTAAAAACTTTAAAAAATCATCAAACTTTAAGCAAAAAAAAAAAAAAAATACAATAACAAAAACCTGAGAGAAAAGAATACAATAACACAACACTTTCCTACTTGAATAAATCCATGGAAAGCAAAATTTTGAATAAATGTGTTAAGTAAACCTTGAGCAAAACCTCCTTTAATTTTTTTTTTTTTGTTTTTTGTTTTTTGGCTTCCAAAGATTATAATATAAATTTTCTTGATTTTGACCAGACTTAACTTAAACTGAAGTCAACCAAAACTTAAATCGAGTCAACGTTGCATTGTGTTGACTTTTAATATGAATTAATAAAAAAAAATAGAATTTTCTTGATATAAAATAGATAGTAACTCAAATTTTTTTTTTATTATTTTGAGTAGCAGAACGGTGACGTTTGAAATGTAGAAAGTGGTGGGTGAAAGGTAAAAAATAATGTCTCTTAAAATATAGTTAAAGTTTTAANAAAAAAACCAAAAAAAAAAAAAAAAAAAATTGCACACCAGTAACACTTGAATCAAACCAGAAAAAAAAAAACTGCACACCAGTAACATCAACACTGCACTACACATTCTTTTAACCTTCACCACTTACATTCAAAAATAAATTGCACACCAGAAACACTGCACATCAGTAACACTACACTTACCAGTAACATCAACACTGCACTACACATTCTTTTAACCTTCACCACTTACATTCAAAAGTAAATTGCACACTAGAAACACTGCACATCAGTAACACTGCACTTACGAGTAACATCAACACTGCACTACACATTCTTTTAACTTTTACCACTTACATTCAAAAGTAAATTGCACACCAGAAACACTGCACATCAGTAGCACTGCACATCAGTAACACTGGACATCAGTAACACTGCACTTACCAGTAACATCAACACTGCACTACTCATTCTTTTAACCTGCACCACTTACATTCAAAAGTAAATTGCACACTAGAAACACTGCACACTAGGTTGAAATTTTTTACATGGCTGCACTGATGTAGCCTATTGCCAAGCAGCTTTGTAGACATTGTGACACAGATCAAAAGAACTCTTCAATCAACAGATTTCTTCAGTCAGTTGTTTCAACCTTTGGTATTGAGGGAAACACATTCAACTTTTCCTTAAGAATCAGAAATCTAGCTGTAGCAAGTGCTTTGGTTAAAACATCAGCAATTTGGTACTCTGAGGATACATATTGAACAGATAACCTTTTATCAACTGCTAGTTCCCTCACATAATGCACATCAATTTCGATGTGCTTTGTTCTTGTGTGAAAAACCGGATTTGATGATAATGCACCAGCACTCATGTTATCACACCATAGAATAGGAACATTGTTGACTTGTAAACCAAGTTCTTGAAACAAATTTTGGATCCAAACTAACTCTGTTGCTACTTGACTAAGAGCTCTACACTTTGCCTCGGTGGAGGATAGACCAATTACCTTCTGTTTTCTAGAGCACCATTGAATCTGATTTCCACCCAGAAAATTACAGTACCCTGTTGTAGATCTTCTGTCACCTACATCACTTGCCCAATCGGCATCTGCATACCCTTCTAAAGTAAGCTACTGATTTCTGGTAAACAATAAACCATGCTGCATTGTACCTTTAATATATCTGAGGACTCTTTTGCATGCAGTCTAGTGATTCATAGTAGGATATTGAAGAAACTGACTTAGTCGATTTACAGCGAATGCTAAGTTAGATCTGGACAGTGTTAAATACTGCAGTCCCCCTACAAGACTCCTATAAAGAGAAGGCTGGTCAAAGAAGGCACTGTCTTCTTTCATGAGTCTAGTTCCCGTAGCCATAGGAGTAAAACAGGGTTTACAATCAGAGAGGCCAGCCTCAACAAGTCCTGAGCATATTTGGCTTGAGTAAGTAATAGACCCTCTTCATTTCTATGAACCTCAAATCCCAAGAAATAGTTAAGTGCACGTAGAGTTTTTAGAGCAAACCTATTGTTCAAGTCTGTAACAATCTGATCAATCAAGATAGAGTCATTCCCAGTAATTAGAATATTATCTGCATACACCAGTAGGTAGATTACTTTAGTTCCTTCCTTAAAGAAAAACAAACTTGTATCAGAAATGCTGCCCTGAAAACCCCAATCAATAAGGGCAATTTTTAGTTTGTCAAACCAGGCCCTTGGGGCTTGTTTGAGGCCATAGAGAGCCTTATGAAGTTTACGTACATGTTTAGGGTGAAGCTGATCAGTAAAACCCTCAGGTTGCAACATAAACACTGTCTCTATAAACTCCCCATTTAAAAATGCATTGTTGATGTCTATTAGCTGAATTTCCCAACTGTTATGGACAGCAAGAGAAAGCATGATTCTAATAGTTGTTGGTTTAATAACTGGTGAAAAAGTGTCAAAGTAATCTAATCCAGGGGTCTACTGAAACCCCTTAGCAACTAACCGTGCCTTATACTTTTGAAGGGTACCATCAGGTTTCAATTTGGTCTTAAAAACCCACTTACAACCTACTACATTCATGTCTAAAGTAAGAGGTACCAGTTCCCAGGTTTTGTTCCTTAACAGTGCATCAAACTCCTCATTCATAGCTGTTTTCCATTCAAGGATTATGACTGCTTTAGCAGCAGTTTTTGGTTCTGGTAAAATGGACAGATATGTAATATAAGCCTGACCTATAGAATGTTGAGACTTTGATCTTGTAATCATTGGGTGGTTATTGGTGACAAGCTTTTGCTGTTGAATAGGAAGAACTATTTCTAACTGAATTCCAGAAGATGTAGCCTGATCACTCACTAATGAATCTTTAGCTAAATCAGAAGATGCTGCATGATCACTTACTAATGAACTTTTAGCTAAATCAAATTCTGACACACCTGGAGGTAAACAAGAATCTGAAATATGATCACTCACTAATGAACCTTTTGCTAAATCAAAGTCTGAAACACCTTGAGGTAAACTAGAATCTGAAATGCCTGGAGCTAAAACTATTGTATCAAGAGGATAAACTGGTGAGTCAGAACACACTTTCGTAGTTGTGTGAGTTGTAGGTAAAATATCAGACAGAGGACAAGACCGAAAGGAATCTATATCAGCATCAGAAATCACTCCCCTTCTAATATTGGAGTTCAAACAGTGAGATAAATCCCAGGATGAATGTACACCATCACTGTTAGAATAGAGATTTGATTCTGCATTATCCAGATCTTTGAACAGAAAACACCTAAAACCAGTCTTGTAAGGAAATTCCTCTTCATTGAACCTAGCTTGTTTTACAATGTAAATTTTTCCTGTAAAAGAGAGGCAC